ATCGGTTTTGATTATTTCCATGCAAACTTTGAGTTGCACTCACAGCAATTGATGATATAGCTACATGTATGTCTAGCTCTAGATGCTGTTGAATGCATAAGGACACAGTACATTAAACTCCTACAATAACTCATCACGTCACGTCTGTGGCGGACTTAATGGGAAAAAATATCCAAATTTAACCATGCATGAAGCATTGCCACTAATATATTGCACTGCTGTCCCTGAAAATAATTTTGATGTTATCATCTGAATATCATCGCACGTGGCTGACTGCACGTACGTCTTCCAACTTCAACATCCATTTTAGAGATCAGGTTTAACAATGCATATTGCACAAAAATAAAGGGGATATGGGTATGTCTACAGCTTTGATATGACCCCCCAAAAAATGTCCACCGTTAAATTAAATGAATTGCATGCAGTGCACTGTGGTACATGTAAACTGTGCCACTTTGTACTTCTTGTGAACTTAGTGAATGTGAACAAAATTCCACTTTCTGAATCTGTAACACTCAGTCAAAGCACTCTCGCATTTTTGAATATGTCATCACAAGATGACGATCATATAAATTACAGTTGTACTGAAGTAATAACCCACTATCGGTGTTCTCAAGAGACAAACCTTCATTTATGTGCATTGTATCTTTAAAAACATGTAAAAAATTTTGTCAAACCAACGTTGCCAATAAATGGCCTGAGGACACTAATATACTTTTGTTGCGTATGACAAAAATAAGTGTGCCATCTGGTAAAACATTTATGCACAGTAGCTATACCTGTCCATGTAGCACACGTACACCATTATTTGACTTTGAAATTAATCATGTTTGTCGGCCAACCAAAAACTAGGCTGGAAAGCAGCTAAATTTGACGTTTGTGGGGAGGGGGAGAATCGGAGGACAGCTTGTGAGGCGTAAAGAATGCCTAAGTGAAAAGATCCACCAAGTACATGTGTTATAAGAGGCGGCATCTCTGAGAAATCTCGCAGGCCGGGCTGTTTATAATCCTCTTAGTGTGTGGATATCGCTCCCAGCGAATACGCGAGCGAACGCCGTGCACTGATTACTGACAAGAGAGAGAGAGAAGGGGGGGGGGGGGGGGAGGACGAAGGGTTCTTAGCAGTTGTTATGGCGTGGATTAAAAACGAGGCTGCGGACCTGATTGTCAGAGTTTGTTGGCCGTAATTGTGTCCGGCGCTGAAAATGTGCCGGGTTTGAAGGGAAGGGTACTCAATGAAATCACTCACTGGTAATTGTGCCTGCCGGGAGCCTTGACTAATAACGGAGGCCGCACTTATACACTGGAAATGTAAATTTGTGGGAAACAAACAGGTTTTATTACCGAGTGGTAAGCGAACATGAGCAGGTAAGCGTAATGGACAGAATAGCATTGTTCACCAACGTTATGCAAGCCGTACGTGACATTCTCTAAGCTTGATTACAGTTTACACATCACTCAGTAAACATTCTAACCCCCCCCCCTCCCCCAACACACTGAAAATAACACAGTTATTGCTGTGTGCCATTTGTTTAGATGTCCGAGTACTCCCAAACCCTAGTGTGTGCCGATTTGAAAGTTCAGAACGAACATCCTCTGCAGTACATACATACAAGCTGTACATTTCAGACCTAATGTTCACGTAACGTTTTAATCTCGCACAAAGCTGGAATCTGAAAAACATTGGGCATAAAACAAAAATTGAAGTGGATACAGAATGAAAGTATGCTTAAAGGGATATTAAGTCCTGGGATGTGCGCAATTGGGCTACAAAACACTTTTTAAATGAAATGATGTTAATTGGAAAGAGCATTTAAAAGTAGGATATAAACGTCCACACAACCATCCTTTAAAAACTGGGCGTTTTTGTGTTATTCTTGCGAGACCGAATTTCGGGGGTCAAAATAATTTTGACTCTCAAAAATCAAGCTGTTGGGTGCTAGTCGTGAATCGTGCCGCACACGTTCCACCACCAGTGTATCGTACTCTGCAGACGTACGAGAAACAACATTTGTGTACTGGTGAAATTTTCGGGGATTTCAGGCCGTAATGACCCTTTAAAATGCGTGTGTGATCCAAAGCCAATAAGCGCTACATACATTCACAGCCATTATCATGTCCCCGAATTTAAATTACAGTTAAAATAAACACATCGTGACTGAAATGGATCAGTCGCAGAACGACGCGAACTGCACGCAATGTCATTAAATGTGCAACAAAGCCCAATGTCTACATGAACATCTGTTTGCAACAGTGGACAATCGACTACCATGACTACAGGCATCAGACTTGCAATTATATGCAGTAGGCCTACCATGTTCAAAACTCTTCACAACCATATGGTCCACTATTCAAAAAGAAATTGGCAAATGGCAGACAATAAGCCGACACATTTGGTTGAGTTTTCCTGCATTGATGGTTTTTCACAGCTGTCCTCTGTAAATTCAGTCAGGCGTCTATTCCAATACAATAGAGTCAGACAATGTGGTCTTTACAAATGCATCGCACAGTTACAACTATGGCTTTTGGGCAAAATATATTGAATTTTTCTAAAATATTTTTTTTTGTATGAAATATTATAAGTGAGGCCTACTTTTATTACATTTATCAAAATTAATATAACTTTCCACACATTTTTAATGAGAAATTTAAAATTTCTTTCGCAATGAAACAAACTTAATTTTCCACAGATGTTTTTATAGCAAAGAATATCATCAAATATTAGGCCTAGTTCAAAAGATTTGGGAAAACTGTTGCAACCTGACGCCACTTTTTTCTTTATTAGGCCTATCTCATTCTCAATGAAGATCATTGATTGCAAAAATGATAATAAGACATGAATCTGGGACTGAGAAAAATTTCCAATTTTGTAAGGAAATACTTTTTTTTGACTTATTTTCTTGAATCTAATTTTCTTGACTCTCCATAGACTTTGTACACAATCGCGGAAGTGGCGTCAGGTTGCAACATTTTTTTCCAAAGATTTTTGCAATGCACAGAACACATTCAAAACAAATGAGTTACATTTGGAGTCTGGGTCAAATGTCATTACCATTTCAATTTTCAACAATTTGAGTTGTGCCTTGCAAGTGAACCTTTCTGGGGAAAAAAGGGTCCATTTGTATGGACAGATTTCTTTAAAATCTTCAGTGGAGGTATCAAGATATTATCTCCCTGTGATTATTTCAACATAATCCATTTCACGCCTACCGTGTGTTTACTTTGTAAATATAGCACCTGCCAAAAGTAATGACACTTCACTTGCTTGCAACTGTTCACCACTCCAAAACAAATTGCGGATTTCTTCCAAACCTGACCACGTCATTCTACAAAGTCACAAAACTTGCAATCCTTGACAAACACCAAGTCAAAAAGTAGACAACTCACCTTTTTCTTGCGCCGTTTAGTCGCCGGGAACCTCTCCGAAAAAGACGCGGATTGAAAACTGCCGCCACCGTCTGCCATGTTGGTTCCTAAGGGGAGAAACTGCCCTCTTTCTCAGGGGAGACACTCAGCAGAAACACGCTCGCAGCCCACGAGATTATATTCCACAGTCGGTCGCTAAATGTGTTATTTCGACAGCTTGTCTTTCTCAAAAGTCACCAGACTCGACACAGACTGTTCGACAAATTCCATTTGCCCAACACAGGCACTTCAGGTATGGAAATCCGGGTTTTTCTTGAAATTAAAAAAAAATCCGTGTAGAACAGGGATCGCTGATCAACTGACGTGGCGCGCAGTCCGACCACTACTCATGTAAACCGCGCTGATATGCGTGACTCGACTTTCGACTGATCCCAATAACTCCGGAAGTAATCTAGGACGAGCACCCCCGGTATCACTTTGCCAACAACCTGTTAAAAAGTGATGACATTGGCTCAGAGAACTGGTAGCTGTATTTCTGTACCAGAGAAAAAGACACAAATTTGAACTCCCACAGTTGATTCAGGTTTATATTCCCAATAAGCGAACGTGAAGTATTTTCAGAGACAGACTTATGTTCGCGGTGACAGAATTGTTACCAGTAGATGGGAGCAGACGCGTAATTGATTGCCACTGAGTGGCACAGCGTGGCTGTGACAGGTGCTAGCTGCGCTTGTACTATGGAGCAAACGAAAATTCTCACGAGAGGGCGCACTGCAAGTTCAATGGTTCTAATAAAAACTATCGGCGGGCGCATCCACCATGCAATCAGTTTCTTCTCAGATCTCTCGATCAGTGTCTTCTATAAAGAATGACGTTGGGTGTGGGATTTGCACAGGTCTCCTTGATTTGTTACATTTCTGCATTGTTTTTGTGGAGGGGGGGGGCTGGAGCTACCGGTACATTTCAGGCGCATTGTAATTTAATATAGCTTCATGCTTTGTCGTCAACTTTTTACTGGTGTTAATTTTGCAGAAGAGAAAGTGTTGGAAGCGCGAACCCGCGTATGTGACGGAGATATCAAAAGAATATTCTTCAGATATTTAGAAGACTTGAGTTATTCCAGCAAACGTGCCAACACTTAATCTTAGGCATCCAGTCAGTGGTACGACTTCGTCAGCAACAACGAGGTCTCCCACAGAACAAGATTGCCAACCATCATCCACGGCCACCAAATCCAACATCGCCGCACCGCCTTCTTCGGTCACGTCGCTCGCCGGGCTGGAAATATCCCAGCCCAAAACGTTCTGGGCATCGCCATCAGTTCCAGGAGAGGCAACGTCCAACTCCCAGCTGGAAAAGACCCCGTGGCCGTCCAAGATCATTTTGGTTGGAACAACTCGGACGGCCTAGCCAGATTGACTGCATGTGGAATGAAGCTAGGCCACAGGGCGCGGGCACAGGAGATCGGCGCGGTGGATGAGAGAGAGAGAAAAAAATAGAAGACGCGCGGATGTTATGCACGCGCGCGTCCATTCTTTGGCAACACATTCCAACGGCACCTACCATACCAATAATACCTACCAATTCGGTGAAATTTTGTTGACGACAAAGTCATTTTCAAAGCCTTTAGTAATTTACCAGTTTGGTTTGGAAAAACTTGCAGTCATACAGCATGCCTCTCCACATGCCGTCATCCCCCGCTAAAATCTACCGCGGCCTCCGCCGAGCGAGTGATCCGAACCCGGGACGAAAAGCACAGAGAGCCGCCAAGAAGAAATTGTCCGAGAAAAATCTCGACGAGGAACTTCGGGAGCTGGTGCGCGAGGCACGGTGTCACAGCGGCAGCCCCAGGGGGTCGGGGACGAGGGGACGGGTGAGTAGTAGGGAGGGCAGGACCCCCACCCCCTCGCTCCCCTACAGTAAGGATTTTGGGAGTTTTGACCTGACGCTGTGTCTGGCGGACGACGGACGGTGCGTGGTGCTGGTCGAGTACGAGCACAGAGTCTTCGTCAACGGACGACAGGTAGGCGTTCCAAAGATCTTGAGACAGTTTATTGTTTGATGATTAGAGCCATAAATGTCTTGTGGAATGCGTGCTTGATTATTTCTCATTTCACTCCTGAAGCTGGGACGACTCGAAGACGCTCATTTAACGTGCGAGCTGCCCCATCTTCAAAGAGGGTAGCCTAACTTAAGTTACTGTTTATGTCATACCGAAAGAAAAAAATCAGCTTGTTCTCTGATTGGTCCATGCGAAAATCATCGCAGCCAACAGCTTTGCATCATTTTGCATTATGCGTCAACCCCGCGAGTTCACAACTCGAAGAGACACATTACTGCAGTGACTATACCTTCATTCTTAAAAAAGGAAAAAAGAGATAATGGCTCTGAGAAGAACTAGAGGTGCCGGTATACAACCCGACTTTTCTGTCCGTGGGCGAGGGCTCTGACCGACGTCACACTCAGAGGACATTTTCATCACGGTCCTGCAGCCGGGCCCTCCGTATTTTGCCACTGAGGTCTTGCATTTGTCACTCTTTCCCACTGAAGAGATTTTTTTTTACAAGTCCCGCCCTAGGCCTGTTACCGGTTCAATTAAAATTTGAAATTACAGATCTACATCCGAGATGGCGGCAAGGTGTATGACCGTCTCGGCCGGCCGAATGCCCAGTTCCAGGGGTACTACGACCGCGCCATCGCCGCTAAGAAGAGACTCCGGGGGAAGGGCTCCAGAAACGGTGACAGAAGTCACAACAGACTACGGGTGAGCAATATTTGTTGTCTGTGGTATATTTTTTGAGACCTCACTGATACCTATTTTGATGCAGACAGGAAATGTGCCGTGAAGGAAAATATTGCAATGTGGGACAGTTTTGGGACACAAAATACCCATCTCATTTTGCCCCACTTTGGTGTAAAAAGCATGAATAATTTCAGATACATTTTCGGCCACCTGTATGTTGTTTAGGTCTCAGTAAAGTCCATGACACCCGAGTTTATGTTATTATTGACGTCTTTATTATCATTTTTTTTTACAGAGAGAGAATAGAGGTGGAATCAGTACGCAAGACGACGAAATGATAGGGAGAAGTTTTGACAGATCTGATGGAGAGACCGACCACCGACAAATGCTGGAGACGCACTGCGGGTAAACCAGAAACATTAGTAGTATAATTAATTCTATCATAAATATACCGATTAAATGAAACTGCAGTACTTACCACCTTTTGTTGTTTATGTTCATTCCTGAACCAAAGAACTTGAGGACAGTAGACAGTCCAACGAAAAAAACCCTGTTTTTTGTTGTTGTCAAAATAGGAGTCGTTTATAGAGAACATCGGATGGCGTACGCGCAACTTCTTATTACTTTCTTGTGTTTGTAAACATTACACTACCGCCAAAAGGCAACAACGCGCACGCGCCTTTTCGTTGTTCATTGATGATGACGTCACTTTGGAGAGTGATGTCACAGTTAATATATTGGCAACTGTTGCTAAACCGCAACTGATGACGCAATTAAACACTTTGCTAAATTAAAGTTGAATCAAGGCATGCGCCTTTCCAAGGTTTAATTGTTAGGTCATTCACTTTTGTAATTTTGCTTAAAGATTTCCTAAAGCTAAAAATGAACGACACTGTGGAAAAGCCTATAAAGATTAAAGTTTCGCTTTTGATGATTTTTTTCCCTCCTAAATGTTATCCCCTAGAATCACGTTTGAATCGGAGTTGATCGAGCTCGAGGCAGCATTCGGCCGAATAATCGCCAGATTGTGCAAAATCATCCTTGACATCATAGGTCACGAGACTACGGACACAGAGAGCACCGACTCAGACGACGAACCGGAGAGCCGTCGCAAGAGTCGGCTGCAGACGACGCTCGATAGACTCTCCGACCAGTTCAATTCCGTCATCGAGCTGAGTTCTAGCTTGAAAGCCCAGAATGAACCCGCAGATGTCGTCCAGAATACATGGACGGCAGACGGCACGTTCTCGATGAGTGGCGGTGACACGACAGGACGACTGGAGCGGGAGACCAGCGAGACGGATCTCCCCCAGTCATGTGATTTCGTCACCAAACCCCATCAGCTGTGGGCTGAGAACCAATCGCTCCGCAAGGATGTCCGAACTCTTGAAATCGAACTCCAGCAGCTGGAGCAACTTCACAAGAAAGTGGAAGATCAGTTCTTTGAGGCTGAGACTGAACGGGTCGACGCCCAGAACCAGCTGGTGGCCACTGCCGCCGAAAATGAGGCCCTGAAGAAGCAGTTGGACCGTGCGACAAGCGGGAAGGGAGGGAAGTGTGATACGGAAAGTTTTTCGGAAGGCAGTGCCACCAACTTGCTGAGCCGGTTTGCCAAGAGGTTGTCCGGGTCGTCGAGACAAGCATCGCCGCCCAAGAAGGCCCCTTCACCATCTTGCTCGTCTTCAAACGAAGGGCTTAACGATGTTCCAAGCTCAGATGCTATAAAAGAGAAACAGCCGGACCTACTTAAGGAATTCCAGGCGTTGGATAGACAGCACAACCTCCGCTCTGAGATGAAACGCCTACGACAGGTCTACAAGAACATGGAGGAAGACATGGAGAAGTTGGGAGAAGAGAACAGGTCACTCCGCATACGGATTCAGAAAATGGAGAGGGAGAGCAAAGACATGAAAGGGAAGATCCGAGATGCGGACGGCATAGTGGAAGACAGAAACAGGGAGATCGAACAGCTAGACAGCGTCAACTGCAAACTTGAAGCCAAGTGCGCTTTCCTGGCTTCCGAAAAGGTTTCTCTGGGAACAGAGCTCGTCAGGGTCAACGCCCTCTGCGCCGAAACCAGTAGCCGGCTGAGGACAATGGAGAGGGAGTTGACGGAGCTTGAGAATAAGTACAAGGAGGCAGAGACTGAGAAGCAGCAGTGCCTGGACAAGCTTGATCTGCTGAACCAGGCTCATCTCGAAGAGTGCAACAAGACCTCCAAGCTGCTCAAGGAGAAGGCGTCTACCGAAGGGCAGCTTAGCAGATTGAGACGGGAGCACGGGGAAGTTGCTGCCGAGTTGGACAAGCTGCGAGTGGAGAATGCTGCCAACGCAAAAGGTCGACTACAGGCAGAGAAGGAGAGAGACAGACTTGAGCTAGAGCTTCATGACTCCGAGAAATCACAGGCAGAGCTGACCGACGACGTGCTCCACCTTCGCCGGAGTCTGGCCAAATCGGAGACAAGCTGCAAATCTTTAGAAAGGGAGGGTGGAGATCTGAGGAAGAGGTGCAGCAGGTTGGAGGCCGAGGCTTCCGAGTTGCGCTCCACGTCGGAGGACCTGTATCTAGGCAACCGGATGCTGGAGGAGGAGAATGCTTGCCTGAAGGAGATGAACCGGCAGCTTCAGAGAGAGAACGCCGAGATGCAGGAGACCGTGTCATCTCTGACAGACACCAATGCCGGCATCCGGGCAAAGATGAGGCAGTGGAACCGAGATAACGTCAGCATGGAGAACAAGATGAAGCAGCTGGTCCGGGCCAAGGCTGAGCTACACGGCGTCATCAAGCAGCTGAACACCGTCCACTCGGACATTGAGAACCGCTTCGATAAGCTGGACAACGAGTACGCCGACTTCGAGTCGCGTCTCGCCAGGGGAGGGAAGACTTTATCGGCAACCGGTGAGGAAGACCAGGCGCCTATTCCGGAAGAGGACATCCAGAGGGAGTACGAACAATTGAAGAAGCAACTCCACAACCAAGACCAAGCAACACGTGACACGACACGTGGTGAGAAGGTGACAGATCGGAGATCAAAGGTTGGGTTTCAAATGTCGCCCTCGCGGGCAGTTGCCAACCTGAAGAACGAGTTTTCAGAGCTGGAGAAAGACATACTAGGAATAGCAAGAAGTTCGGGAGGGAGGAAAGCCAGCCCCCACAATGCGAATGATGTAACTTTTGTGTCAGCCTGTAGCGATTTGGACTCGGAGGAGCTAGGACTTTGGTGGGACGACACGGGTGAAATTAACAGCTTACTGATATCCGGAAATACGAATGAGGATACGACGCGCAAATCAATGTAACCGCGATCGAGCGGGCTAATTGGTTTTCAAAACTGCTGATGCTGAACACTTTCTCCGTCGTGTACAGCTTTTAGATGAGACAGGGGAGAGTAATGATATTAGATAACTAGCAAGCAATATTTTTCGAGGGGGAACAACTACATTTTTCGAGAAGGGCCCGGGACGTACTTCAGTAGTCCGTGCATAGTATTATGTAGGCCTGTGGGCTACATCAATGACGATAATAGTTCAATGAAAGTAAATGTCGAAATACTTTTTCTTGAGAGTAAAAAAACGGAGGGTGGCGGTGGGGGTGGGGGTGGGGAGGGACCTGAAATCTCGGTATATTCTCGGTATGCTCAAGTCCTTTAGTGGTACGCTCCTGAACAGTTTAGCTGAACAAACAAATGCTTGGCAAATTATCGCACTGAGCAGAAAGTTGTTGAACAATATTAGGAACATACAACTTTACCAATAGTTTTGACTTTCTAATTTCAAGTTTGGATTTCAGAAGAAGGAGCTTTAAATCATTGAAGTTAGTTATGTTCGGCAAATTAATCGGCTTATATACAGTTTATTCGTGCTCTGTTAAATAAACCACATATATTTCTACCTTCAGTTCTAGTAGTGAATTACAATTTAGTAAGTCAAGCGTCGTCTACTTAATCAGGGGTGTTTGCATTGAATTGAATTGAAGGTTTTTATTGTTCATACCATTCTCGCAGTCCAAGGACTGAATTGCGATGGTTTACAATTTTCAATATGACAGAAATCATTTTAGAAGAACCATATATACATATGTTAAACATTAAAATATTCTAAAAAGACTATTTATACATACATGTGCACTAAAAATGTTAATATTCTAAACAAAACTAGTCAAAAAGAATTGGAAACGTTACTTTTTTTCTTTTGGAGCCAATAATTTCGATGTTCCTAAAATTCTAAGTGTGAGTTTCAAAAAAGGTTTGAAAAAGGGGCGATTAAAAGATCTTCGTTTCATCATTAAAAAATATCAAACATTTTATACCGTGAATATGTTGCAGGGAAGTTTTTTTTTTATTACATGTATTCCAAAATAAATCGATGAAATTATTAGTACGTCCGTGAAAGTTATGTGGCCGATAAATTTGGGTACGACAAAATTATAAACAGCGCCCTCTCGTGTTCAGTCTGTATTTATTTCCTAGCAACACAGCCGTGCGACAACAAGATGGCCGCTTCGTAAACTTTTCGAAGCAAAATCTTCAACTGTGAAAAGCGGTTTACAGATCGCTATCCTTTTTAGAAAATGTCAAAGAAGAGAGCAAAGAGTGGTGGGTCTGCTGGCGTCTCGAGATGGGACTCGGGGATTGTTCAGGCGCCCTTTGAAGAGGTAAAACAGGACTAAAAATCACGCCAATTCATTTATCGTCTGCTCTGAAAAACAATCATCAACAACAGATTGTGCAACTTTGTTTGTCTGCAGCTACTTAGCAGCTTAGTGCTAGCTCATCTGACAACTTTGGTTATTACTGTTATTTTGTTAATGTTTAAATTAAAAAAATTATCTTCACTCACGTTTGGGTACATAGTTGCAATATTAAAAGAAGAAAAGGTAAACAATCTGGGGCATGCTTATGCCTGGAAATGGGGCTTTAATTATTGAAAGGATGGGGTGGGGATTTAAATTTGTGCCTTCAGTCAGTCAGCATGTTCAGCATATTTAGCAGTTATTTGAAATTAAAGTTGAACTTTTATTTTGCTAGTCCAAAATTATGGTAATCGTGTAGTTTAGGACCCTAATCCGTATAACTTAAAGGGAACGAATAGGCCTAGATAATTATGTTTTGGGACTTAGGCCTAATAGAATACCTTAACATTAGGCGATGATACAAGCAGGAAAAGTCACTTTATTTGTTTGGAATCATCTAAATAGTTCGCTAAGCCACCATGTTGAATATCAGCTAGCTTAATTTTGTGGAAAGAGGGCAGGGTTTTGATTTATGAACAGAACTTCTAAAACATTACAGATGTCCTAAACTACACAATTACCCTAGCTATATTAATATAATTTTATTTCCATTCACAGGAAAACTGGAAGGCAAGCATTGCTTTCATTGTCGGCAAACGTTTGGAGGACTACGAATACACTCAATTCCTGTGCAGTGCTGTGCATTCTGGCCTCAGAAAACTCTTCAGCGTTATTTCCAAGGGGCTCCTTTTCCAAGAGGTGGGTTTATTTTTATAATTAATTGAAAAATTACTGAGCAATGAAGTGCAATATCCAGGCCTTGATGATATTTGCAATATAACTTAAACAATGTGAAAAAATATTTTAAAACTCCAGGTTCAAGAATTAGGCAATGCCAAAGTCAAGAAGCCTAAAGACGCCGCCGCGTTCTCGGAGATCTGCGAGGCGGTCAAGCCACACTTGGACAACAACGAGGACGTGCCTCTGCCCTTGTTGGCCAAGCTGCTGAAATGGAAGCTGTTGGCTATCAAACAGAAGGACATGAAGAGACGAGACGACGACAAAAAGGTAGGAGTGCATGGGCGGAGATTGTAGAGATGGGGGGGGGGGGGAATCGGACGTTACTTTTTGGCGTTACTCGCCCCTTAAATTTGAAATCATACTTACAGAGTATTTAAAGAACATCACAACATGAGAAAAATCACTGGTTTGAACCCTCGGTAGGAACTGCTCATTAAATGAACAAATACTGACTTAGCATCTTCTTCTTTTTCATTTCGGAAGTCCACTGATGGAAAGGACGGCAAGGACAAGAAAGGAGGCAAGGACAAGCGAGCCAGGAGCAAGTCTCCAGCCAAGGGCAAAGGGAAGAACAAATCTCCCGAGATCCCCTCCCCGAAGAAGGAGAGCAAACTGAAGAAGAGAGGGGAGGAGGAAGATGACAATAAGTACATCGGTAAGAAAATATTGCCAATTACCAAGCAAATTTGTTTGCATAGCGGAATATCAGCTCAGAACCAGTTAAAGTTAGTGTGCATTGCATTACATTTCGGCTGGTAACCTGTTCTTGGTACTCGGCACAGAAATTTGCTAAGCATGAAATATATTTGCTTAGCAAAATTGGGTTACCAGCCAAAATGCCATTTAATGCATATTACCTTTGACTGGTACTTGGCTTATTGACGTTCGGCTTGTCTCCATTACCAAACTTTCAAATTCAGTTGACACAAGGAGTCATTAACATGGAGTTCCTAAGCATGGAAATTTGCTTAGCAGAGAAATTACCCACTAAGCAAAACAGGCTACCGGCCAAAATGTCATGCAGTACATACCTTTAACTGGTGCACAGCTGTTAAGTGCTAAGTGGAATTATGCAGTATTTTCTGCTTAGTAGCGCCATGAAATATGGCCTAGCAGAGTTACTAAGCTCTTTATAGGCTCTATTCAAGATAATTAACATGACATTTTTTTTGCAGATGATGAGCCTGATGACGGACCCCAGCACTACGTCATCATCGAGGGATTTGACCTGGCCCCCTTGCTGGCCCTCCTCAGTGACCTTGGGGTCAATGTGGACAGCATCATCAAGGTGGGCTCGGAGGACTACCAGAGATTTGAGAGACGGAAGGCGCAGGAAGAGGAGGAAGAGGAGGAGAGGCCACCTGAAGGTCAGTCAAAGGGGTCTGAGGTCGATACCAGGGTCAATTAGGGTCAGAGGTCGATGCCGGGGTTAAGTTGGATAGAGGCCGATGCTGGGGTCAATTTGGGTCAGAGGTTGATGCCGAGGTCAATTTTGGTCCGAGGTGACTGAGGTCGATGCCAGGGTCAGTTTAGGTCAAAGTTTGATGTAAGGGTCAATGTAGGTCAGAGGTCAGTGGTGGGGTCAGTGTATTGGTCAAGGGTCGGTGACAGGGTCAATTTTGGTCTGAGGTCAGTCTTGCATTCTATTGGGGTCAGAGGCTGGGTCTATGACGGGGTAAGTTTTGGAGCCAGTTGTGGGGTCAGCGGTAGAGTCAGTTTGCTGCGGAGGTGGGATCTTGGCAAGACTTGGTCAGTAGAGTCAGGACAGGGTTAGTTTGGGTCAGAATCTGGATGATGGTAGGATCAGATTGGGATCGAGTCAGTACACGGGTCTATTTGGGTCGGAATCTGGCGCTGTTGCAGTGTCAGTTGGGAAATGTGCGGGTCAGTGACAGGGTCAGTTTGAGTCAGTTCATTGGTTATAAAGTCACATTGTATTTTCACGAAATTGTGTTACTGATAATCCTCCACAGTTCTGGAAGCTGAGAAGCTCAAACGAGAGAAGGCCGTCCAGAGACTGGAGACCTTCTGGAATCAACACGAGCCCTTGCTACGCAGCGCCCCAAGGGACTCCAAGCTCCACGACCTGGCCAGGCTGACCTACACCGTCAAGGAGAAGATCATTCCAGATGACATGGAGGACAATGAGCTCAGGGTGAGTACAGTCCAAACGCTGCCTCAGTCTCTCAAATTTAAGGGGTGTCCAATCTTAGCTTCATCTCCAGTTGCATCTAAGAGCTCTAAGCCTAGGGTAAACTCCAATTTAGTGAAAGTGTTCTACTCTTCTTCCAATTAGCTTAGGGTGAGTACAGTCCAAACACTACCTCAATCTCTCAAACTTAAGCGGTTTTCAAATCGTAGCTTCACCTGAAGGTGCATCTTGAAGAGATTTAAGGCCTATGAGTTGGGGTAAACCACCAATTTAGTGCATTCTTTTCTCCTCTTGTTTACTTGCAGACGGAGTTTGGCACGGCTCTGTTCGAGGACATCGCCTGCATGATGTACGACTTGCTGGACTCTAAGCGACAGTTCCTCAACTATATGGACAACATGAAGCTCATCCAGATACCATCGGCCTCTGGACCCGCCATGCCTCCTGCTAGTAAGTCCAAGACAAGGTTGAACTAGGAAAATCACTTGACCTGGCTTCGAACCCGAGGCCTCCCTGAACCACTACCGCTCTACTTACTAGCCGCTCCACTTACTGAGCTATCTAACCCGAAACTTTAATTTGTTAAACAAGGTAAGAGTAGGATATTGATCTGATAGGGATTTGAACCCACATCCTCTAGAGCACTGTACTGGTGTACTACCAACTAAGCTATCCAGCCCTTTTTTTTCGCAGTCTCCTGGTTAGTGTTTTAGTTCTGGGACTTGGAGAGAAGACAATACCCCATTATTTGCTGTAAGTCGATATACAGCTGAAATGCTCAATGTCAAGAAAATTGGTCGGAACGGGAGTGAAAGCTCTTGAACACTGTCATGATGATTTGTCAACTGAGTTATCCTGCCCAGCGGTTTAAATAAATAAATACATACAAATATTTCCTTATTGCCAGTGTCTGAGGTGCAATCTGGAGCCTCGCTGACCACGTCAGGGGCCGGAGCCTTGGCCGCAGGGGCACCTGCAGACGCCCAGGGGTTAGGGGTGGCAGCTGAGCAGAAGCTCCTACCTCCCGAGGTGGACATGCGATACTACACCGAGCTGATGGACAGCGTGCCCCATGAGAGCGTCAGCATGCCCATCATCATGCATTGCATGCTGGAACAGGTAGGTGCAAAGCCAATCACGAGTCAATCGCGAGTCACTAGCCAGTCAATCACAAGTTAATCACAAATCAGTTCACAAGTAAGAGGAGACGAATAGTGACTAATTAGTGCCTTTGTCACAGCGTATATGAATAGCTTGTGACTTGAGTGTGAACGACTTGTTAATGACCTGTGATTGTCTTGTGATGACTTGTGATTGACTTGTGATGACTTGTGATTATCCTGTGATACCACTTGTGTTACTTGCTTGCAATCACATGTGATTATTGTGATCACTTATGGTTGACTTGCGATCACGATCACTAGGGATTGACATGTGATCGCCTGTGTTGACCCTTGTGAATGACTTCTGATCACTTGTGACTCGACTTGCGATGATATCAGATTGATGACTTGCTCATACCATTCTTGGCAGGCTTTAAAGCTTGAATATTCCAAGTACCTAATTTTTGTGAATACTACAAAATGTTCTTTCTCATTTTTACATTTGTACAGATTACTGCCACAGAGGAAGACATGCTTCCTCCTAGCGAGAAAGCCCAGACACCCAGAGATGACGGGCTGGATCCCAGCCTAGCTGCCCACATCGAGGGCATGACCTCCAAGCTGCACATGTCAGCCAAGGAGAAAGAGGTAAAGACGTCTGTACTGCAAGACAACTGTACGCAGGGATTGAGCATCCGGAATAAGAAAACTCTAAAGCCCTTTTCACACTAGACAAATCTCGGCGTTGACGCAGGGTTGAAAACATGCATCGCTTCACACTTGAAGAATTTCAACCCTGCGTCAACCCTGAGATTGATTTTGCCCTGGGTTGAACTCAACCCAGCACTAGACCAGGGTTGAGATTTTCAACCCGGGTTGAAATTCTTGCCAGGGTCAAAACAGTAGTAACTGAGCATGATAAGCTTGACTTGCATGAAACAAGTGTGAAATGATGCGGGGTTGAACGTGGGGTTGAAAAATAAAAAACTCAACCCGGGGCGGCACTGGGTTCGTCCGGGGTTGAGTTGAACCCGGGTTGAAAGGCTCTAGTGTGAAAAGGGCTCAAAGGGTCCTTGTCCCATCGAGCAAAGTGAATATGGATTCAAAATATCTACAATTTTATAGTTGCCAATCTTAAAAATTCGCATTCATTTCAAATGGACCTCAATTTTTTTTTTATCTTCAAAGGATCTTGAGAACAGCCTGAACAGTCGGTCTTCCAAGTCATCCCCCGCTACCATCAACGGGGTCAACAACACCCCTTACTTCTACCGCTGTGGGGATGACATCGCCCGGCGCTTGCACCATCTGCGCCCCTTGAACGGCTTCAACCCCTCAGAGGCCGAGCTAGCCATGATGGACTACATTCCAGTGGCTAAGTTGAGGGAGTTCCCTCGGCCCTGCCAGGCGGTGCTGAAGCAGAGGGCTGCCCGACTTCAGGTTGGTAGATAATTGATTGAGTGCTTTAGCTGCTTACATTTTAGGTTTTACTTAGCTTTTAGGGCCAATTTGCGGAGAACTGCATGGAGCCCTTACTTAGCCTATTCAGAGGTTTTTCAACTTTGAAAAGTGCATCAAAGAGATGCAGACAGCAGGCAGGCTTGTTTGTGGTAGAGTGAACTTTTCTCTACGCAGTCTCTGCTGTCGCTCATTATTGAAGCATGCCCTAACTTTCCATTCTATCGTCCCAGGAGTTGCTGCAGCATTGTGCAAGCGGCGCTGTAGACCAGGCCGAGGTAGACCACGCCTTCCGTCAGTTCGTCTTTGAGAGCCTCAAGCTGCGTGGGACGGATGCTGACGGGCAGATCCTGGCCAGCGAGACCAAGGACACAAAGGTCATCTGGGACGACCCTTACCCTCTCTTTGTCAGCAGAGGGGAGGATGACACAAAGCTGGAACAGCCGTTTGAGATTGCAGTCCCAGCGGCTGTGGCTGATGGTATGGAAGAATTGTACCTTTTTAAGGCAGTTTAAAAATTAAAAAAAAAATTAGTTGCACCATTTTTATGAAGAGACAGGTATTGCCAAGATTTAATGGAACATCCTTTCAGTCAGGTTCATCGCCCCTCAGTTAAAAATGCAGTATTCCTCAAAAAAAATTGTACAAAAAGCTTCAGGCCTTGAAGGAGAACAGCACTTTTAAATGAACAAGTTAAAATAGAGGTAAAGCGCATTCGTGTAATTGAAAATGGTGCTTAGGAAATATATGCGCTAAGCAGGAATCAGTCGGGAACCAGTCACAAGCAATATTCATTGAATGCCACTTTGGCTGGTAACCTGTTTTTGCTAAGCAAATTTCTTCTGTGCTTAGCAAATTTCTGAAAATATGAGCAGCCAAATAAGAAATGAATATGGATATATGTACAATATGAATTGTATATATGCTTTTTCTTTTAGCCAATCAAGTGTCATCTGATGAGCCCAGCTCCAAACCGGGCTCAGCCAAGAGTACACACAGCGATCAGACTGGTACAGGGATCTTGAAGAATGAACCCGCTGGGCCTAAATCACGGCAGGGGTCGGCCAGCAGCGCCAGGTCAGCTAGGAGCACAGGTACGACAAGAATCTAGATTGCTGTGGAACTACATTGTATTACATTGTGTTTATTCACTGAAGAATAAAAAAACCATGGAGGGCCTTGGTGGTTTCGGGCGCTACAGTGAGTAATAGGCAGAGCGGATTGGGGCAGTACAGTGTCTAAAGGGTTGAAGGTCTACAGAAGTAGAAAGGGAAAAAATGCTACAAATGATTGTGAAACAACGATGAATATAACGAGTTTGGAGTATTATTTTAGTAATTTATCAAGACTCAAAACACAAGGAAATCTGTCTTCGTGCCCCCGCCCACAGAAAAACCTCCTTTTTGTCTGTGACGTTATCGGCAAAATAACACAAAACTGACTGGAAACTCCAGGGTTTTGCAATTTAGGGCAAACAGGTACAAGTAGGCTGTTATATGCACAATGTACATTGATGCTTTTACCGTTTTGTGAATTCATTATGTGCGTTTCCTTTGGGTTGTTTTCCATTCATTTCTTTGGCGATATGTGTTTAAAATTCTTTAATTTTGTTCGTGTGTCTGTGGAATTGAAGGAGATTTTACCGCGCAGGAAGACACAGAAGGTATTTTGGATAACAGATTTATTCCTGATATCAGAACTTTTTGGTATATACATGCATGGATTAGTATTTTAATGGATGCATGTTGTTAGAAGTTCAGACCATCTATTGTCTGTCTGGTATGTTGTGTCGTCAACTGATTTTTAAAGTTACTGGGTCGTTTACAGTTACCCTGAAACTCAAAAGTATTGACAAACCCTATATTAGTTGTGTAGATAAGACAAAATACCCCCCATAATTAACCTGCCTGGCATGTTTTCTTTTACGAGAAGAAACAGTTAACGGTAGTTACTGTAGGTTTTCACAAAAGTATGTGGATGACAAACTTTTTAAAACTCTGCAAAGCTGTTTCCGATTTTAGTACTCTATGAAAGCATAGTATCAACACCTTATGCTCTTGTTCATGAAATCGGCAAATGGTTCTATTTAATCAACTTAGCAGACTATGGTAATGCTTCATCTTTTAATCTAAGTGCCTGCTGCACAACAACTTGTTTAGATAGCGTACAATAATTACATACATTTATGACAAGACATTGACGTATACTTATTTTAAATGTAGCATTGCATGTGTAGTAACTTTCGATGCTTGTCATCAGAAGAACAGTTTAGTATAAACTGCATGCATAAAATGTTAATGTTAAATTATTTTGAATATTTTTTTTTGGTGGGGGAGGGGGTATTTTCCACAAAGACAATGATAAATTTTGAAGAAATGTGATGCGATCAAGCTAAACGAGTCGTTTGTCCACCAAGTTCAAATTTTTTTTATAACAGATTTGAAAAGAGCACAATCTCAGTATAACTGCTTTGAAAACCGCATGCTGATACCATCTTTAGTTCAAAAATTATGGAAGTTGGAACACCAAGAGATATGCGATGAAGTGATGTGATGAAGTGGCCCTATTTTGGCCTGTATCTCCAAATGAAAATTCCTGACAAACGACTCATTTAGCTTGATCGCATCACAAATGATGAACAATTTTTTCTTTTTGGATACTAATCCACCGTTGTTTTGTTCACAGTCCACTTTGAGAAAGACGCCTCTGGCAACCCCATACTCCCCGCAGTCAAGGACCCCCAGCAATCCTCCTCCCAGCCCCCCTCGGAGAACTCCCTCTCCTTGGAGCTTCCGGGTGCTCCCAAGGGTCAGAGGTCGCGACCCGGGTCAGCCAGCAGTGCCATCGGGGTGCAGGACATTGGGGAGAAACCCGAGCGCAACCTGGACGAGTGGCGCTACGCAGAGTATCTGGAGCCTAGTGTTCTCTTACAGGTATGGAAAATATATTGATTTTGTTTTGATATCAAATTGGCTCTGTGCACATCTTACTGTCTCCCTAATATTTTACTATTTTACTAAGGAACTTTACGGTCGAAAGTTGATTATAATTATGCCTTAAATCGAGAATAGTAAAATTGAAAATTTTGGTTGGGGAACGTTTTTACTGTGTTTATGGGGGAGGGCTGATTGTGTATGGGAATCAGGCATGCAACTTTTCCTCGGATCAGCTGATTTCCTCGTTTTTGACTTCACAGTTATGCCATTCAAAATTGAAAATCACTGTACAGAGTCTGGTAAAGATTAATTGGAGTTTCCTCGTTTTTTCCTTCTTTCAAGTTGCATGCCTGGGGAATGTGTCCCTAAGGTACTGTTCTTGGTAATCATAATTATTAATTTTACTATGGATATTATTTCTGGTTCATTGAACATTTAAATCGTTTTAGGTCTTGCAAGATGCTCGTGAGGTATACCCCTACATGGACACTTACTACCACAAGAGGGATCATTCGCTCCTAGTGGTCATGCACAATCCTGTGGGTCCTGATCTCAAGAACCACGAGCCCTGGAGCGCCAAACTCCACTCCAATGTTGGATTCAGGTAAAGAGGGACAGATTGTAGGTTTACACAGACAGCAGCAGTAGTGTAGAACAAATTAACTTTGACACTTTTTACTGCTAAGCTTCAGATGTACTAATTTTTGTTTTTCATTTGAGCACTAATCATCGAGTCTGATGTCAATTCACAAGCTAGTCAAAATCAACTGTGATCCCAATATCTCAAGTCCATCAGAAGAAAACAGTCCTCGACTCGGATATCAACTTACAAGCTACTCAGATCAATTTTGAAAAAGGCATTTGGCTGTAATTGTTCATGCCCAATTAATTGTGACCGGAATTTTGTTTTATCACAAGTACGTTGACTACAAGACTGCCACTGGACAGCCCAATTAGTAGGGTGCCATTTCAACATTCAGAAGGTTGCAGTGGTGGATCTGGGAGGGGGGAAGGGGTCAGGCAGTCCACCCCCCTTGGGCTACAAAAAAATAGGATAATCACGTAGAAAAAGTACCACATGCCTGTTATCCCCCCCTTGACAGTTAAACCCCCCCCCCCCCTTGAGCAAAAGCTGCATCCAGCCCTGGGTTGCAGGTTTAAATCCCAATTCAGCAAAGTTTCTTTATAATACTGACAATTTAATTTAAACATAATGTTTGTACACATCAACTAGGAACTACATGGAGCACGTTGCCGATCATATCAAGGACTGGACGGCCGAGGAAGAAGAGAAGTACCAGGCGGAGGTACGGCGCAAGGAAGAGGAAGCCATGAGGGCAGCAGCCTCTACCCCGTCTCCGTCTGTCTCCAGGCCCTCTAGTGGCAAGAGTAGGGTCAGGTCTGGGTCACCCAAGAAGTCTCGCTCCAAGTCACCCAAAGGTCAGTCCAATCATTTGAATCAAAGCAAATCAGTTGAATCAAAGCAAATCAATTGAATCAAAGTAAATCGTTTGAATCAAAGCAAATCGTTTTGATCAAAGCAAATCATTTGTATCAAAGTCAGTCATTTAGATCAAACCAAATCGTTTTGATCAAAAGCAAATTATTTGAATCAAAGCCAATCATTTTAATCAAAGCAAATCCTTTATATCGAGTCATTTGAATTACATTTATAAACTGTTTTAATCAAGTAAACAAAAGGGAAAAATAACTAGGTTCCTCTTTTTAATCAATACGAGATTGAATTAACATATTGACTGAAGTCGGAATCGAACCTGTAACGTCAGGAGAACCATACCAGTGATCTACTGACCGAGCTATCCACGTCTATTTTGGTGTTCTTTCAAATTGTTTATATATCTGTCAATATAGACAGTCTTGATGATTTTTTGAGAGTAGTGCCTATTTTTAAAGACCAATAGGCAAGTGAAGTGAGTGTTTCAAAACTCTGATTTCTTGGGCAGGCAAACGCAGCGTAAGCCCCACCCACTCGGTGGACAACCTGGACCCCAACAGCAGCAGCTTCATGCGACCCAACTCCATGAAAGCCTGGAAGGTGGAGCAAGACAAGATACGCGAGGAAGAGGAGAAGAAACGGACGGAGAAGGAGAAGAAAGGACGACCAAGGTCAGCGAAAAAAATCTGAAAACACGAAACCTTTCTCTAGAGTATTAAGAAGTTTGGACCCGGGTTCCAATCCCACCCATGACAATTAGTTGACTTGGTTATGGCATCTGCCTGATTTCATGGATTCCCCTGAAAAATCCATTTTTGGTTTTCTTCCACCTCTGCAACCGAACATGTAAAACATTACATTCTGCTGTATGCTTCTTCAGGCTTCCCAGCCATTGTAACAGTGCAATTTTTCAGAAGCCTTGTAATTAAAATGACAAATCACCTAAAACCTATTTTTCTAGTACCATCTATTTCACTTCTCTCTTCTGAGAAAAAAAGAAAAACCAATAGCTAATCCTGCAACAGAAAGTTGTTCCAAATGAAAATCTGTGTACTGTGATCTTAAGATGATGAATCAAGAGTTTTAGTTGATTTCTAACACAACATCTCAATCCAATCTCGTATCATGAAGTCTCAGGGGATAAGCTATTTACCTTGACCAACACTTGTGATTTGACTTCCAGTTGACTTCTGATGTGACTTACGATGGCCTGTTCTACAACTTTGGGTTTTTGAAAAACTTTTTTGTTTTCTCCTAAGGTCGCGTTCCCGCTCTGGCTCCCCGAAGAAAGAGGACAAGGAGAAAAAAGACGACAAGAAGGACAAGCGGGCCGCCTCCCCGTCCAAGGAGAGCGGACGCAACAGCAAGAAGGGGACCAAGGGGGACAAGGGCGGGGCCGGAGGGGCAGGGGAGGAGGGAGAGAAGGCGGACGAGGGGGTGACAGAGGAACCCAAGGAACCAGAGAGGGAATATCCGGTAAGAAAGTGACCTCATTTCATCAAGTTGCCTGATAGTATAATTTGTGTCAGGAAATTTTTGCGACCTTCTTGCAAATTGTTCTGATTTTATGTGAACTGGGCCAAATTTCAGTGTTTAAGCAACAAACAATTTACTTACCACAGAAAATGATTGCTTAGCTAGGTTACCAATCAGAATGCCATATAATTGCAGTGGCTCATAGCTGGTTCTCAGCCGGTTAAGCAGATAAATTTGCTAAGCTGTATTTTTTTTTTTAGATAGGTATATTTTTGCTTAGAAGAGAAAGCAGTCACATTGCTGGTCCATTAAAACATATTAAAAACATATCCTGTTTTTACCAAATTAATTTCAGTGTTATGTATCATGTTTCTTTCATTTCATCCCAACTTTTAAATCAATTTTCAGGAAAATTACCCAGTTTGACCTCTCTTCAAATCCTGTCCTGACTGCTCCTTTTTCCCTTTATTGTTTCAGTTTGTTGGCTACAATGTGGGGAATGATCTGATTCATGCCAGTGGTTTTGTCACCACCCTGTTTCCTTGCGACGGAGGCCAGATACGCACTGAGAAGACAGAATTCATTGATGGTAAGACACAGTGAATATTCCCTTCCCCCTTTAAAATTAACTATTTATAAGGATATCCGTTTACGTATTCCTCTGATGCTTGTTAGAGAATAATGACCAAAAATGAAGTTCTTCTTAGAACCAAAATTGTCTCAAACAGTTAGCTAGTTAACATGGCATATCTGCAAACTTCAAAGCTGCAAATCATAAAGTCTCAAATCACATTAAAAAGTTTTCCCTAAAATTTGTCTTCGAAAATAAATTTGGAAAAAAGTGGAAAGTTTTTGTCCTTTACCATGCCGTTATAACTTGGGCGTATTTTCTTATTTTTCCAAAAAGGCCCATCTTTTGTGAAGACCTCCGTTCTGAAGGACGGCCACGTCTTTGTCATCCACCTGCTGAATCCGCGGCCAATCAGCGAAGACGAGCTGACAGCCAAGACCAGCCCGGAGGAGGGGGTGGTTGAAAAAGCCGAGCATGAGACACAGGAGAAGGACGAAGGTAAGCTTAGCACGGGAACAATTAGCTTAGCAAAATGACGGTTACCGGCTAAAAAGTCATATGACGCATATCGGTGCCGACTGGTTTACTACTATTTTTGGTAAAAGCAACAGTGTCTGCTAAGCAGCTCTATGAAAGGTTACCAGCCAGAATCTCATAAGACCTACACTACGCCTGACTGGTACTCTGCCAATTTTTCGCTAAGTACGTTAATTTGGTATAAGCAGTATTTCTGCTCGCCCGCATCTTTAAATATTTATAAGCAATATTTGTGCTCGGATGTTATATTTGGAATGGCATTTTTATATAAAGACCTACCCCTCTTCAGCCCCCGTTGCCAAGGAAGCCAGCCTTCTTCAAGATTTAATGGACGAGGACGGTGCCGATAGTCTAGCCAGTGAGGCCATATCGGTCAAGTCTGGGTCGATAAGCGGCTCGCAGTACGCCGACTCGCGCGATGGTCAGTGGCGTGTGTGTGTGACCCAAACTTCTAAACACTGATTGCAGTTGCTTTGGCACTACTTCTGTTTCCTTTAAAGGAGTGACATCATGTAACTTCTTAAACTTCTCAAAAGGCTTTTTTTCTGGAAAAGAAAATAACCACTTGCACTTTAATGCACTCTGTGTGTGTTTCATGATACCAACACAATTTGGAATGCAAAATTAATAATGCTTTTGTAACAAAGTGCTATGCGTAGCTCCATACAGTAGTAATCTATAAGTATAAATGTGCAACTTTTAATTTTTATTCAAAATCCTCTTGGAATGACGAACAATGCATTGGTTACAACAGGTTTGCTTTCCAGGCTGAACAATTTTTTGAGGAGGCGACAAATCTTTCTTGCTTAGAGATAAATGTCTGGTGTTGGATGTCTGTCAATCGCTGTGGCCTACTAACTTTGTGAAGTCTGATGCTATGATGCTAACAGTTCAAAATTATTTTAAAAATTGTTTTAAGTGCAGTGTTTATAATGTAGCAATGGCATTTTGTTTAATTTAATGCGAAGGGAAGTTACTTTGAAAAAAAATGTCGGAAGAGTTTTGTTCAGGTTTTCGGGGAAGGGGGTCTATCCTTGTTTCTGGATCTATTCTATTGCCATGGAAATGCTCTTCAATAGTTTTTTTCTCAACAGTATGTCAAAAAATGATTTATTCTCTAAAGGAGTTCTAAAAAAGTGACCCAAATTAAACAAAGAAAATTACTCTTTTGACACTTGATTAATTCACACTTTTGCATTTCTGAAGTCTCTGGAATGTTTTTTTTTTTAATAGTCAAGATGAGCTGAACTTGTTGTTGATAATTTCTTATTATCATCTGTGTAGGAGACTCCCCAACCAAGGGTGTAGGCCAGATGCAACGGGACGCCCCATTGGATGACAGTAAAGCCCCTGAACCAGCAGAGGAGAAGCCTAAACCAATCAGCAGCTTCGGTTCATTCACGGCCACCCTCAGCGACGGCATGGTGTTTGCACTGAGCAACTACGGCAGCAAAGGAACTCCTTTTGGAGCCGGTAAAAATTAACCATTTTCAAAATTTACTTTTGTTTTTAGTTTTAAAATTTGAGCCGAGCTTTCAAAATATGTACACAGAGCTACAGTTAGGTCGTTAGAAATTGGTCCCAAATTGGAGATATCAACAATTTTCTTGCTTGCAAAAAACCTCGAACATAAAAAAAAATGTTTTCAGATTTAGTGTTGAATCTGGTTTGATTTCGTAATAACAACATTTTGAAACAAGTTAGTGTACACAGTGATTCAACTCTTAAGAGTAAGGTGAGTGGATATATCGCCTGAAAATGGCACCCTCTTCAGATAGTGAGCTCATATATTGGGTTACCCTTCATGGTGCACTTGCTTTAATTTCCTGTAAATAAGACGAGCAATACCATATTCAGCTTAAAAAAATAAAGTCAAGTATTTCACAGGGCAGGGTTTAACAAAGATAGTTTCATACCAAAATCGAAAACCAGACCGCCATGTTTTATAAAGGAAATTTCTTTGCATTGCGTTTTTTTTTCTTTCTTAGAAGAGCCCAAGCAAGAGGTTGAGATCTACGTGCCCCCGCCCACCAGCCCGTCCCCGCCTCCTACTATCTCCTCCCCTAAAGGCACTCGGGCGGGGTCAGGGAAGAAGGGGAAGAAGCAGCAACAGCAGCAGCAACAGGAGGCAGAGAAACAGGCGCAGCTGCAGCTGGAGCAACAGCAGAGAGAGGTAATCATAAGTCAAGTCATAAGGCAATCACAAATCAATCGTAAGTCAAGTCATAAGGTAATCACAAGTCAATCGCAAGTCAGTTACAAATCAATCATAAGTCATTGACAAGTCCATTATAAGTCGGTCACAAGCAGTCATAAGGCATATCACAAGTCAGTCAGAAGTCGATCACAAGTCAATCACAAGTCAATCATATGCCAGTCTTAAGTCAATCACAAGTCATATCATAAGTCAGTCACAAGTGAAGTCACAAGTCCACACAAGTTTTCACAAGCCTTCACAAGTCAGGTGAAAAGTAAATTTCAAGTCAGTCATAAGTTAATCACTAGTCAATCACAAGTCAATCACAACTCAATCATAAGCCAATCACAAGTCAATCACAAGCCAATCACAAGTCACAAGTCACAAGCATGACAAGGCAATTAAACTACATTGAGGTTAGCTCAAATTTTCTGCAAACCGTAAAGTTGTGTGCATGGAGAAGTTATCATTATGCTTTAATAATCCTCTTCTAAGAGTTTCACCTTTATAAAGATTTTCTTTGGAAACTTTTCTATCAGGAGGAAGAGAGGAAGAGGGCGATGGAGCAAGCCATGAAGAAATCCAAGGAGCCTGAGGAGCCTCCCTTCCAGCAGCTCTTTGTCTCCTGCCCAGACGGCCTGCATGTCAACTACCTCCTGGAGAAAGATGCCGGTAAGCGAGTTTGATGGCTCCACTAAGCACCGAAAAGTTTTGCTTAGCAAAAATAGGTTACCGACCAAATCCTTTGTTATGTATATTACATGTGACCGGTCCTCAGCTGATTTCTGCTTAGCGCATAAATTTGCTAAGCAATATTTCTGCTAAGCAGATCTGTGAATTTGGGTCCTCTCGGCTAAGTTTCACGGAGAAGAAAATACAGCTTATCATATTTTTGTGCTTAGGCAAAGTCAGCCGAAAAGAAGTTAAGCCTAAGGACCCAATGTCGTAGAGCTAGTAAGCACATCATATTTGCTAAGCTCAAAATATTATTTGCTTCAGAGCCAAAACAGGTTTACCAACTCATGTCATGTCATCGGCAGATTGTGTCTTCAAGGTTTTTCTGAATTGCATGCTTACTTCCAAAGTTAAGAATTTCGTAGCGTTTATTCAAGTTTGAGATCTCACATTGATTGATTCATTACAAGATGAGTGAATATTCTCCTCCCTTTTTCTCTACTGTCCCAGGGGTCGTGATGTCCGATCCCGGGTCTGCAGGCCTTCTGTTGGTCAGGCAGAGCTACCCCTACAAGACATCTGGCAAGCAGGAGTGCGAGTCTGCCCGCCAGGTACCGGCCATGCAGGAGAAGTCGCGACTCATCACCAGCGACGGCAGCGTCATCAAGATGATGAAAGATGGAACCGTCCAGGTAAGTAGAGAAACTATAAGGGATAAGGCTGCATTCTGATTATTTGGCTATGACTTACAATAACACATGCCTATGGAAGAGCCGCAGCCACTTCTCATAGACACGTGTGTTTACTGAAAGTCGTAGCCGCATAATTCAGATGCGGCTGAACTTAGTAAAGGACCAGGGCCCAATTTTCACGGCATTGCTAAGCACTAAAATTTGCTTAGCACAAAAGAAGTCTGGCTTATAAAAGCAGGTTATCAGCCAAAACTCAATGTGATTTTCATGCTAAGCAAACAATAACTGAATACTAATCACGAGCAATATGCATCACGTGGAGCTTTGGCTGATAACCTGCTTTTATAAGCCAGACTTGTTTTGTGCTAAGCAAATTTTTGTGCTTAGCAATGCCGTGAAATTGGCCCCAGGGGTCAATTTCATGTCACTGCTAAGCACAGAAATTTGCTAAGCATAAAAAATATTTGCTTAGCAGAAACGGGTTACCAGCTAAAATGCCATGCAGAGTAAACGGCTGAGTTTTGCTTAGCGCATACATTTTTGCTTAAATTTTAACAAATTACACAAAGTACACTTGACCAATTTCCATCTTGTGCACAAGTCTATGACATCTTTGTGTCATCTCTCTCAGTTAGTTTTGGGGTACTTGTGAATTAAGTCCATCGTTAGCATGACATTTCTGTTGATAGTTAATAGTAGCTCTTTGAAATCAGCCCCACGTGAATCTCGTTTGTCTAATTTTCACATCAACCTCAGGTGTTGTTTGCGGACGGTGCAGTCAGCATCAGCCAGGGCCCCTCCTCAGGCCAATCCTTCAGCCCCGCCCACAGCAGAGACCCTTCCCCTCAGCGTGGAGGTAGCGCCATCAGTACCCAGGTATCTGAGGCTGCAACCAAGAAAGGTAGGCCTATATTGCCTCTCCATTGCCACAAAAACAAAAATAGCAAGTTAAAAAGGCGGAAGACAATATTTTTATGTATACAAAATTATGGATTCAGAATTTTGAAACTGTGACAATCATTATATATTTCCTTTTTAGAAATTGTAAAAAATAAAATTAAGTTTGTTGCTGACATTTTTTAAAGTTAATTTTTCGACCTGGAATATTTTGTATGAACTTAACTTTTTAAAAGTACATATCTCCAAAGAACATACTCCAAATTGAATACTTTATTCTTGAAAATTTTTCGTCTCCAAAAAAAAAATTGAACTCCAAAATAGATATTAATTTTTTTTTTTTACAATCTCTTCTGTCTAACACAAAAAGGCAAACAGTATTTTTGTACAAATGTCTCCCATTGACCAAAATTAAGTAGAAAATATAAATTCTTGTGACCTTGCATGGATTGACTTGTATAGACTTGACTTCAAGCCTGCCAAAATTTGGTGTAGGTTCTGAATCCACACTTATTTGTTTGTTTGTTTTTTATAGGGTCTGTCCGTGGAGCACCCAGCAAGTCCGGCACGGCCATGGGTGGGGAGAAACCTGAGGATCTTCAGGACGTCAGCGCTACGGAAGACCCTGGTGTCATCAGTGAATGGGTGACTACTGCTAAGGACGGAGTTCGTATTGGCACCAGGGCCGACGGCAGCATGTATGAGCTGAAAGCATGTATGATGTACTCGGCCACGGATCCTATGACTTACGAGGTGAGTAACAGCAGTTGTGTTGGCTCTGTGATCAAGCAGAAGTATAGTACGAGTCAATCACAAGTCAAACTCAAGTTTATGTCCAGATCACAAGTCCATCAGAAATTAATCCCAAGTCATATCAAAAGTCCATCAGAAGTCAATCACAAGGTAATCACAAGTCAATCACAACCTCTCAGATGTCAGATCGCAAGCTAATCACAAGTCCCAGATGTCAGATCACAAGCCAATCACAATTCAATCACAAGTCAATAACAAGTCCATCACAAGTCAATCACAAGTCCATCACAGGTCAATAACAATTCAATCACAGTTCAATCACAAGTCCATCACATGTCAATCACAAGTCCATCACAAGTCAATCACAAGTCAATCAAGAGTCCATTAGAATTAATCACAAGTCAATCACAAGTCCATCACAGGTCAATCACAAGTCAATCACAAGTCAATCAAGAGTCCATTAGAATTAATCACAGGTCAATCTCAAATCTATCAGAAGTCAGTTCACAGTTTGTGTGGACAGCCAGTCACTTGACAAAAGACAAAATGACGTTCCACTTTTCCATTTCAAAACATTGGTCCTACATACTGGCATGTGTCCCGTGCACTAGCTCCCATAAGTTGTCCACATAGTACCACCTGCCAATTTCAATTTTTTAACTGGTAACAGGTGATGAACACCAGGGAAGACCGTGTGGTAATCTTGCTGCGTCCAGACGGAAGCCGTATCGTAGACCACAATGAGGGAACACGGATTACTACCTACTACAACAGGGTGGAACTAGCCGCCGATCACGAAGAACACGCTGAGACAGGTAATGGTGGCTGAAACTTTCAACTTTGACCTTTTTTGAATTTTTCTGTTATTGCTGAGTCTGTGAATTATCAATTTTTTGTTTTAATATTCTAATAGGTGAGGAACCGACGCCCAGATTCAAGCTTGTCAGGCACTACAAGGTTGAGTGCCCCGGCTACGCTACTGTCATCTTCAACAGTGAGGATAGTCTGGCGACCACCATCTTCGGCAGCGGAACGGAGATCATCAGCATTCCAAACGGCTCCTACGAGGTGCTCCATCAGGAGGGCGGTCGCGTGACTGTCAAGAGCGACGGGATGGTGGAATACATCCCGGGTGTCGAGGGGCGTGAACCCAAGACCTACGTCATGAGACACCAGAATCCGATTGTCTTTGAGACGGACGATCCTGTCGGGAATCGCTTCACTGTCCGCTCAACGGGAGAAACAGAGGTCAAGAAGGCGTCGACGTGCGACGAGGATAAAGTCGAGATGGGCGTGGTCCAGGAGTGCCATCAACACCTGCCGCGGTTCTTCGTGATCAACGAGGACGGAAGCGGCGTGGAGCTTCTCCGGGGTGAAGACATCGAGGGGTACCTAGAGAGAGCTAACTTGGACCCCAATACTGCCATCTTGTGGGACCCGCTCGCCGACCATCCAGACGTGAACGGCATCACGGTAATGCGACCTTACACCACGAGTCCCAGCAAGGTGTGGTTGATGTCCCTGGACGAGCCCAACATTGTCCCGCCCAATCTGCGTTCCCGAGACTTCGCCAAGTTCCCCGCTCGGGAGCTCAAGCACCCAGGCCCTAAATTTGGCACCAACGTCGGGAAGGGGCTGGCTGTCGGCTCGCGCACCTCCAAGCCGCGAGCTCTTCCAATCCCGAAATGCCCCAGTGAGTTAGAAATCCGTCAGTTTGTTGAGTACAAGCCCATCAGCGAGGAGCTGAGGCAGAAGATGAGGGCGGGGCTTGAGGCTTATGCTAATGAGATGCAAATTAAGGATCAGCAGTGGGCGGAGCAAGAACTGAAGGAGCCAAGAGATGAAGCAGAGAGGGTCAAAGCAGGAGAGCTCTTGGCAAGCATCTTAGCACAGGTAAAAAAATTGTGCCATGTCCTCATTCTAACTCTAGATTCCTTTATACCAAAATATCTTCGCACTAAAACATTTTTGACATAAGAAAGTGAGTCAACAATGCTTAAAAGTCTCAAACAATGTTTGTCATTTTTTTACCAATCTAAAAAAAGTTTGTCACTGTTTGGATTTTATTTGGTCTCTGACTTTTGATAGTTTGTATTGTTTCGGGTTGATGTAAAATTAAGCGTTTATCCATCACAAACGTGCTATAAGCACGGTACTTGCTGTGTAAGAGCTAGTGGGAAAAGTTACAAGCTACTAAGGTGAGACTCGAACCCACAACCTCCTGGTTACAAGTTCACATGTCTTAACCACTCAACCTCGGACCCTGTTGGCATTGGATGGCTGTTTCAAATCTGACACGGCGTATACAGAATCGTAGCTTTACTTCAGTGAAGATTGAAACCTAATATTAAAATATCTTGTTACCATTGACTTTAGGATGAGCGAGATTTGGTGGCCCAGACCGATGCGGCAACAGACACTGTCCCTCAAGAAGTGACGAAAACCGCCGCATCTGCCACCAAACCCAGAGCTGTGACGAGCAGTGATGAAGCCAAGGCCCTGTATGAGAAGGCAACTGCCCCAGCCCCACTACCTCCACAGCCCAAGCCCAAGAATAAATATGTGCAGGAGGATTGGGACAAAGTTAGGTATGACATTTCTCCCTGATTTTGAACCCTACCTGTACCACCCCAAGCTGCCCTGTATGTTACTCCCTGCACTGCCAAAACCTGCCCTGGTACTCTATGGTCTTATGAATTCATGTAAGGTATGAGATCCCTTACCGCCCGGTTCCCAGACGGTCTGGGCTAAGCCTCGCCCACTCCGAGAAAGGGATTGGGACTCCTCTCCAAAGTGGGCGAGCTCGGATTAAGAGAACGAAGTACAAGTCTGACTGGTGGGCCCTCTCCTGAACCTAACAAAAGAAGCAATTTGCAAGGCGATAATCCTCACTGCTGGGTAACAAAGACCCGGCAAATCAAAGGGCGCGCCGCCGGTAATCCCTCCCGTGGACTGCTATTGTTGTTGACCCATTGCCCTCGCAGGCCTATTGAAAAGCTTGAGTGATCAGTGAACATGGGTTTCAATTAGTTACGTGGTACGTTTTTCTCCCCTTAAATGTATACAAATGTATATGGACTTGCACCGATGAATCCCTGAATCTGACTTTTAAAGCAAACGGGTTTGGTATTTTGTTCAGTATTAAGATCAGAATTCCCCAGTTTGTTCTATTTACGTGCATTAATTAATTTTTTTCGTTCAACAGATAGTCCAAAGGCAGGAAAGGGAAAGAGGTATATCGATGATGAACAATAATAAAGACGGAGAGCTTTCAACCTTTGATTTTCTTTTCGTCTTTTCGTTTTATTGTTGTTATTACCATTACCTTTATTATTTTCCCTTGATCTATTCTGATGGTGGTGTGAACATTTCTTCGTGATGATGATAAAAGCCACCGAAGATCATTAATTACACAGAAAACTTTTTGTAAAAAAAGCATAAAAAAATAAACAACTGTATCCGTAATCTAGTGATTAAAGCACACTATTGATTTGAGTAGACGAAGACTGAACATTAATAAAAGCTTTCCGGTTAGCCCAATATCCAAATACATATATAGACGTTATTTAAATGCGCAATTCAAACAACAACTGATCAGTTCGCTTCCAGGGTTGGGGGGCACAATGTGAACAGATTAAATGTCACTTTTAAGTTGAAGACCTCTCTTTGATTTCCCTCCTCGCTCTCTTGCAGCCATCATTCAACATCTCAACCGTCTTGCACTTGTGGTCGGTGTACCACTCATTAAAGTCTGGGAACTGAAGCTTGGCTTGGCCAAATGTGCTGTGGAGAATCTCGCTATCGATTCGTGGTATTTTGCACTTCTTGTTGTTTTCGTCACGGGAGTTCCCGGTGATATTTTGCTTTGCAAGTGTGTCCTTCGGGATCTCCCTTTTCATGAGGTTCAGACAAAGCAGCCTGGCGCTCTCTACCTCCGAAGCGGTGCGCTTCCTCATCTGTACGTCGCGGAGAATAATCTTGTAGTCGGAGACCTGGCGTATCATGTTGTGATTCCCGCCCAGAAGGTACGTGCCCGGCTCTGGACCCGCGATTAACTTGGACTGGATATTGCGGGATGACACTGGTGTTCCGGTATAGGATGCGGTTGGGTGATGATCTTCAGATGGAGTGTCTGTAGAGGGTGGGTCAGATGTGGTCGCCTGTATTGGAGTGGTGGGCGGGTGCGAACTAGGCGTGCCAGAAACAATCTCGGGTGTAATTTTCATGGCGATGTATTTCACCGCATCTGTCAGCTTCTCTTGCTTGCGGATTGTAGATGCTAAAAAGGGTTGTCAGGCATGGAAAACTGATGATGTAGCCTAGCCTACATGTATTTTGTACAGGCCTACATGTAAAATCGCGTGGACCAATATATCATCAAGGCACATATTTCTTTATTCTCCTCTCACACAGAACTATGAATTGCAATCAAATAACAAATTTAGGGAATTCAATGAGACCCTTTCACAACATTGTTTTCTTTGGAAATATGTAAAAAAACATATTTTTTTTAGCATTCTGGTACACTTGCAATGGCTCCGGGTCAGGGCCTAAATGATCATCGACGGCACGGTTGTAAAGTCTGTTTACTAATTCCCATTACATTCGCCAATGAACCAGTCATGCCATCAAGGTAAACGCAAATGTGACGTTTAATACATGGCTATCTTTTATACTCTGAAGTCACAGGTTTTCTGCGTGTTTGCAATCACGATGACTGTTGTCAGAACGCTGAAGTTAATGCGCTCGCTGCGACATTAGAGTTTCGTTTATCACAAAGTATAGTGAAAGGGTATCAGACTATTATGTTTACAGCGTGTATCACACTTTCTGTCTGACACCCAATCCCGCGTTGCAACAAAGCAGTATACGTCATGGGCTGTTCCTTCGGTTAGATATCCCCCGCTGCGCTGTATGTATTCGATATTAAGACATGAGGGAGACCGTTCAACGAATGACAAAGAAGGTTTGCTCTGCGCTCACTTGACGCCAGTGCAGCATGAATTTAGGTTGTATGAAGTACGGACTCATTGGGGGTATTGCGCATGCCCTTGCATAGACAATTAGGAGATGGACCGGTCACGTGAGAGGGTTTAACCAATAAAAGGGGAAAAGAGTCCGATTTTCATACGAGTCCGATTTTCGTATGACACCGGGTCCCGTACACGGACGACGGGCGGGAACGTGGTCCATGTAGTAGTCATTCACAAGTTGCTTTCACAGCTCAGTGGTTTGATTAAAGAATGTGCGTGTTCACGTACAATTTTGCAATGTCTTATCTTGCATATTTTCTAGATAGAAATTAGAATAGCTAGAAAAAAATATTCCAACTATTAATTGAAATGAGTCTCAGGGTGAACAAAAAATGTACACATAAAAATCTGGTTTCAGGATTTAAAGTGAGTGAAGTTTTTGCGTCAACAGAAAAACTTAAACCTTAAAACAAAGGGGGAAAATAATACGTTGTACGTCAAGCAATCAGTAAAACCCATATAGGCCTACATTTACACGTGTTCATGCAAAGAAAATACTGCCATTCTATACTCTATAGCAAAGAAAATGCTGCAGATAATCATAGCCAGGGCAAACCATAGTTGGCCAGGCGCTGTAATCATCGAACAATAACCACTAATCCGTTGATAGCGACCAAGAGAGCCACTCCAGTCAACCAAGCTCACGCTTGAATAACCGAGCGTTCATACCGATCGGGAGCTACAGAGTGGGTCACTCCCACCTGCTTCTCGAGCGTCACGCTTGAATAAAAGAGTGCCCAGTATTCATACCGATCGGGGCTACCGAGTGGGCCACTTCATACCGATCGGGGGTCAAGCCCGCCAGCTTCTATTCTCAAACGGGTATCAGACTTTTCTGTTTAAAATGCGTATGCATTAACGTGAATAAGGGGCAAGTGCGGTGTTGTAGTCTAAAATTCAACAACATCACATCATTACCACACGCAAAACAATTCATGTTCGTCATATGGGGAATACTTTATTTCAATTAATACAGAATGAGGTATTTCGTACATTTGATCAATTCCGAGAATATAGATATCGAACATCGTATTTCGAAAAGTTCAAAGAAAAAAAATCACACGTTGATCATCTAGCTTTTAACCATTGTTCATATATAGAACTTTGCAAACTAGGCAGTTTTATCAAGTTTATTTGTCAAATGATTTCATGCAAACATAAAATACTTGCATTCTATGAAGATAGAAAAGAATAAAATTCCACACCAACCCAACCTGAGTTGGGCGCTGTAATCCTCGAACAATAACCACTAATCCGTTGATAACAGCTATTGTTGTGACCCAGAGGGCCACTCCAGCAGGCAACCGAGTGTCACGCTTGAGTAACCGGGCGGGTACAGTGTTCGAAGCGGGCGGCAGCTTACTGGGCGGGCCGAGCTCGCCCGGTACTCGAACGGTCCCATTCCGGATCTCATACCTAATACAATGTTATACAAATGCTAATGGGTTTAGTTTGCATGAATTTATTCCGTAGGAGAGACCTAGCCGAGGAGCAGAACCTACGCAAGGCCCTGCGCAACCACGAGGTCCCGCCCTACTTCCAGTCCGAGTGGGGAGAGAGTTTCCTCGTGACCCAAGCCGCAGCGGCCGGCAGCAAGGGTCCAGACATGGACGGACTGACCAAAGACCTGGCCGAGGCTACGAGGCAAGGTGACGGTCAGGGGACGTCCTTCAGTCTGCCTAGTACGCCGTCCGAATCGCCGGCCAGTCAGCAGCAAGGTAAAGGGCAGAACATTACTGAAACCAACTCCAAGATCACACAGTTTTACATCTTAGAAGAAGAAGGGCCAAATTGAATCCAATTTGCTGGGTGCACTAGAGGGGTTATTGAAGTTCAAATTTGCTAGCCATATGTTGTGTCCCTGGGCAAGCCACTGAACAATATTACTAGAGTCGACTTGTGGAACATGCAGTTTACTACCTTAGAACAAGGAGGGCCAAATCAATCATTTCGTACCAAGGAAACGGTGAAGAAGAATACCATTATTTCACTACAGTTTTAATGCAAGGATATAAGCAAAAACAATCTGCTTTATGGCCCATATTTTATTTCAAGGTATTTTTCTTGATTTTTGTCCCCTGCAGCTGCCCCAGATTCTTCCCGACAGAGTGAGCCGTCGGAGAGTGCATCCCCTCAGAAACAACCCTCTCCAGTCAACCCAACCATCAATGGTATGCTAGTCTACCCTTTGTGGTTGCAAAAAATAAACGAGTGAAGAAAATATTTAAAGGATGTCAGTTGTGTTTATAATTTCCAATTTATGTCACTGTCAAAATTTTTGACAAAGTTTAAAAGTAACAAATTATTAATAAGCCCCTTTCATTTTCTAGTTCCCATAACGTCATCCAGTCCTGCCGACGTCCGTCCAACCAACCCCACACCCGCCCATGCCGGGGGTCAGGGCACGCCCACCCCTCTGCGTCCAAACAACCCGACGCCGGCCCATGCCTCACAGCAGCAGGGACCCACAGCAAGGCCAGGTCAGTGCTGTTAAGATAAGTTTCTCTCCCTGAGACACCCTCAGAATTTGGATTGAGTCATTTTAGAGTCATGAAAAAGTTGAAATGACAGCTTTCTCACAATTCCTCACAAGTCAGTCACAAGACAATCACAAGTCAATCAAAAGTCAGTCACATGACAATCACAAGTCAGTCACAAGACAATCACAAGTCAATCACAAACAATCACAAGTCAATCACAAGTCAATCACAAGTCAGTCACAAATCAATCACAAGTCAATCACAAACAATCACAAGTCAATCACAAGTCAGTCACAAGTCAGTCACAAGTCAATCACAAGTCAATCACAATTGAATTAAAAAAGATATATTTTCGTCAACCATTTCAGGCAATCCCACGCCCGGAGGATCCAACGACAACAACGCCAATTCCCAGAATGCCATGCTGCCCAGTGAGACGCCCTCAAGCTACGCGTCGTTCCCCAACCATCCGTCCACCATTCCAGAGCACGCGGAGGAAGGGGCATACACCGACCGCTCCGGCTACACTGGTGAGTTGAAAGACCATTATCTCTGCTGGTTATTCATTTAAGTTAAAAAGTAAAGTCTGTCACGAGGCAATGTGACCCATCAGGCTGGCGTTTATCTCTGGTTTCAGTAGCATGAAACGACTGAGAATAGTTCCTTTCCCCCCTGGACAGGATGTTAGTCCATTGCAGGCTACTCCCCAGCTAATGCCGGTACCCATTTATACTCCTGGGTGGAGAGATCAAGTGGGGGTGAAGTGGCTTGCCCAAGGACACAGCATATGGCAAGTGACTGGCCAGAGAATTGTAAATATTCCCCTAAGAAGTCAAAGCCCTAATTTTGTCCTGGAAAAAACCATGAAATTTCATTTTTAGATTTCTGTGAGAACCCTGAAAGCTAGAAGACCTTGGAAGATCGAACACCAGCATGGTAATCCAGAGGTCCGATGTTCGAATCTCACTTTGGTCAAATGTTCTGTGTCCCAACTGATTTACAGACAGGAACAGCGTCAACCAGCAAGAAGGCCGGCGTTCCTCAAGCCAGGCCAACGGAGACGGCATGGCAGGTGCGGACGGGGACGACGGTATCCCATCAGCCAACAGCGACCTGATCCTGACCAAGAGCCTGCTGGTAGACGTCAACGGGGAACCGAGGAAGGAGAGCGTGCGGCTGCCGGCGGCCATCTTGGGACAGAAGCCCGGCATGGTGCCCAACGAACATGTGAGTTGGCAAAACGTTTATCTATTAAAAAGCTTTCTATAAGCACAGAAAAAAAAACTTGCTTATAAGACATTCTTGCCTTATAGCATGATCGTATACGATCAAATTGCTAAGCGTGGAAACATTTTGCTAAGCAAAATCCGGTTACCAGCCAAAATGCTGTATGATGTATATTGCCTGTGACTGGTTCTCCGCTGGTTTTTTTTTTTGCTTTACGAGTAAATCTGCTTAGCAGTATATTTTGTGTAGCAATTCCATCTGATTGATATCCCAGGTGTGCGGCAATTTTGTTTTCTCAATCTTGTGTTTCTGGTCATTTTTTTCCCAACAGTTCCAAGTTTTGGAGGATCCCGTGCGACGCAAGGTCTACACCTCCTCCATCGCAGGAGCGGAGGCCAAAGGCATCGCCCCGCTCTCCAAGATGCGAGGGTTCGAGGTGGTCCCCGGCGAGGTCCACTTTGGCACCCTGCGGGAAGGCTGCACCTACGCCTTCAGCGTCAACCTCAAGAATTGTGGGATTGATACGTGCAGGTACAAGGTGAAGCAGCCGCCACCGGCCACGGGACTTCAGGTTGTCTACACTCCGGGACCCGTGAGTACTTTCCCATATTTGTATTGTCATATTGGCCTTTCATGGTTTCTAATTTTGATCATGCCATAATTTTTAAAGGTATGTCAAATTACAAGAGGACAAACTCACTCTATGAAGTGTAGCCTGATTTTGCCTATGGCCGTCTGTGCCCAATCCTATGGAAAACTCAGATATTGTAATGGAACGTTTGGAAATCATGATTTGTATTCCCTTCCATGCATTGAAGATAGCTAGCTAGACTGCACAAGTATTGTTAGTTAGCAACATGTTTTGGCCAGCTTTTCTGACGTTTACAAATGCTTAAGAGCTCCGCGCCAAATGGAAATATACGAAAAAAAAATTATGTCAGTCAATCCCAGATTATATACTTTCCCAGCCCTGCCCCGCCCCAAAGCGCGCTAATGGCACTCCATCAAGTTTGCAAGTTACAGGTTTACTTTTCACAAGAGATGGGCGTTGCATCTGTGATTTTCTCCTCTCATTAAATAAAATGCACCAGAGGTTATTTCAAATCCCAGCAAACTGGACCAGTGGTCCCAAACAGAATTTTCCAAATGGAAACTGAATAGAATTGTGAATCTTCCAAAATTCTTGAATTCTATATTCCAACGTATTTGTCTTTTTCTGTGTTGATCCCCACGTTACCAGGTTTCAGCAGGCATGAAGGCCGTTCTAGAGCTCCAGCTCTACGCCATAGCCGTCGGAGTGACCGGGGATAGCGGGCAAGGATCCATCGGGCATCACGTTGAGATCATCACCGAGATGGAACAACTATTCCTACCAGTCACTGCAAATATCCTTATCTTGACTTTATTCTATAAGTATTTTGTCTTTCTTTTTCCATCTTTTGGACCTGCAAGGGAAGTTGTCTCCTTGGTGGTGGAGGGGGGGGGCTATACTTTGCACACATCTAGTGGGCAAAATTTCAAAAAAGATTGTGCTATTTTTTAAGCCGATTTGTTGCATTGACAGGATTGATTTTTTATTAAGATTGAAACCAGCGGCATCGCTTGATCCCTGGTTACATGGCATATACAGGTTTATGGCTTCTGACTAGCGCCCCTTGAACAGAGACTTTGACAACAATTAGGAACTGCCAACATAGGGCTGGATAGCTCAGTTGGTAGAGCACTGGAACGGTAATCCGGAGGTTGCTGGTTCAAACCCCGCTCCAGTCAATTTCTTTGTTTACCTTTACAATTAAAATTCAATTTCCATGGCAGTGACACTCCATTTGGCTTGTAATGTTCTTTAAAGGCTAGAGCAAATCTCATAGGGCAGGACAAGTTTAAAAATTTGGTCACAAAGGTTTTTCGGCTGAAGTTTTTCTTCAGAGGTTTCTGAGTGCAGACATGGATTAGAATCACTAAAAAGAAGACATTGACAAATTGGGTAAACGGCAATATAGGTAGTGCTGGACAGCTGGCTTGGTAGACCATTGATAAAAAAAAATGGGGAACCGCCAACACAAGGCTGGATAGCTCAGTTGGTAGAGCACTGGAATGGTAATCCGGAGGTCGCAGGTTCAAACCCCGCTCCAGTCAGTTTCTTCGTTCAGCTTGTATTATTATTTCAAAGTGGATTTGATGACTATGTAGCTGTTCAATCCTTGACCGAGCACACATATCCTGACAGCCCACGAGTACGATGAACGGTGCCGCACCCAGGGGACGCCCCGCGTTGCTGCCGGGGTCCGTATGATATCGGCACGGCCTCCATCCCGCGAGGGGATCATCAGACCCAGGAAAACACAACAGCCAGGTAAGCAGATTGGGCAAAACTCTGGGTACAAGTTGCACATATCCAAAAAGCCCATTATATAAATATGTGAAATTCCTGTAAACTATAAAACAAAAAAAGTAGATTTTTTTTTTGAAAGTTGTGTTAGAATTTCAGGAACAAAATTGGGCACATTATACAAGACAATTTCAGGAAAGTTTTGCTTAAAACAAATATGCATTTATTTTCGGTGGTGGTGAAGGGGGGGGGGGGGTGGGGAGGGAAAGGCTATGCCAAAACTTGTGGGATGTTAAAACCCCATTGCGCTAGCATTTGTTTCTTATGCCTACTCCAAGACTTGCTCTCTCAATTCGCGAGAAAAAATGTCCATGGAAAACACGGTAAAAAATATAATCAGTAAAACCTGCATTTTGCATGGAAAAATCTCATCAACATTAGAGTGTCTTTCTGGCTCTTAATTGCATTCCTGCATTTAAAGGCTGCCATCCAATGTTGCATTTTACTGAGATTTACTCAAACCATTTTCAATTTTCAAAATATATTTTCCGATTTTTGATTCTTGATTTACTAGGAGCCACCCTCGAAGCCGATTCACAACTGGTCCAGTGATCGGGCCGTCGGAATTGCAAGAAAGTGTGGTTTATGCCTTGACAGCGACCATTCAAGATTGTCTGTACACTTGATTATTTCCTGGCCAATTGTTCCTATTTGACTAAAAACAAAGAGTGGCTCTTATCATAGTGTTGCTTCAGAAATCCTCAAACCCTCATAAATCTTCCGATTCAGAAAAAGATATTAAGAAGGAAAAAAAGCATATTAAGAAGGAAAAAAACACCATGTTGTAATATCTGAATGAAAACACTACCTGTTTGAATTGATACCGTGTTTTTTTTTATTCCTGGGCCACTTTTTGTTGTAAAATTCTTGTAGAAAACAATTAAAATTATCAGACTTTTTTAAAGATGAAATGTACATATTTTGCAAAACAATAATTGATGCCAATGGTTTTCCCGATGCTTATGTATGCTGTGCTGTTTCTAATCCGTCCAACTTCTTTGCAAAATATAAATGAAAGAGATGTAACTTCGAAAACAAAGTCGGTTAAAAAAATATTTACTATTGTATATTGACTTCACTTCTTTTGATTGGCAATAAATACGTTCTTTAGTTTTTCAGTTACAAGAAAATTGTAATTTTCGGTATTCATTGAAGTCTTTGCTTCTGTCAGGTACATAACTTTGCTTGTTCCTTAGACATTTTTGTGCAATTTGTTTTTAAATTCTCGAAAAAGAATTCCTAAAAAGTACTGATGAAAAAGTTTCCGTCTTGAATACGAACAGCATTGGGGGAATGTCTTCTATACGTATTACATGGGCCATAATGTTCACGTGTGTAATCAAAACGAAATAGAACATCATCCAGTGTGTAGTATTATCAAATAAAGTAATACAAAAAGTTGTTCGACTATTACATAAGATCTGTAACTTAAACCAAACCCAATTTAGTGAAATACACATTAATGGCCAACAGTCATTGGCAGACGATTGAGGGAGATTGAACTCAGATGCTCCATCCGCCATCCACTTTGTACTCGGTGCCTGTCACAAAACTTGCCTGCAATATAAACAAAGGAAGGCACCTTTACTACATTGTATTACATTGTATTTATTCCCTGGCCAATCCATGAAGCCATACAGTGCTTAGTTCAGTAGATAAAGAGGCTGGGCGGTTTTGGGCAGTACAGGCACTTATGAGCTAACACAGTATATTAACCAGACAGCTAAAGAAAGTTAAAGCTATTGGTTGAAGGCCCATGGGTGGTTTTATACGGTTGGTAAAACACCGACTGGTTTTTAAACACTTTTTCCAGCACCGCTGCATTCTGCGCCACATTGTGCAGTACGCACAACCTGAGCCCCAAATTGCACAGTATGCGCAACCTGTGCGCCAAATTGCGCAGTACGCGCAACCTGCGTACCAATCTCCATAAGGAAATCTTATTAGTGCAGAAATGCTCTGAACAATACAGTCAATCGTTACCTCATCTGATGCCAGGAATAAAGCAACATTTGCCACTTCCTGGACTGTCCCAAGGCGGCCAGAAGGCTGGCGTTGCATGAAGTATTCCCTGATCTGGTGTAGAAGAAAATCAGAAGAAAGGCAGAAGAAATCTGTGATATTTGAAAGATTGTGTTAAACTGAGGGTTGGGTTGGGCTTGGGTTGGGTTTGGATGGGTTGGGTTGTTGGAATGGGATGGGTTTGGCTGGGTTGGGTTTGACTATTTTTATAGGTTGTGTTGGGTTATGTTTTGGTTGGGTTGGTTTGGGATGGGTTGGAATGGGATGGGTTTGGCTGGGTTGGGTTTAGATGGGTTGGGTTGTGTTGGAATGGGATGAGTTTGGCTGGGTTGGGTTTGACTTTTTATAGGTTGTGTTGGGTTAGGTTATGTTTTGGTTGAGTTGGGTTGGGATGGGTTGGAATGGGATGGGTTTGGCTGCATGGGTTGGGTTGGGTTGGGTTGGGTCGGGTTATAGGATTAGTTGGGTCGGGCTTGGTTGGGTTGGGTCGGGTCAGGTCATGTTGCATGGGTTGGGGTGGGTTGGGTTGGGATGGGTTTGGCTGGGTTGGGTTGGGTTGAGTTGGTCAGGTCGGATTGGGTTGGGTTGGGTCTGGTTGGGTTCGGTTTGGTCAGGTAGGGTTAATTGGGTTAAGATTGGTTTGGCTGGGTTGGGTTGGTCTGGGCTGAGCTGGACTGGGCTGTGCTGGGGTAGCTTTAGTTATGTTTGGTAGGATCAAATTTAAGAAAAAACTTGGATTGGGCTTGGTTTGGTTGGGCTGGGCTAAAATGGGTACTGGGTTGGGTGGGATCGAGTCAGGCTACCGCTGATACCTTCTCTGGGTCCCCTATGTGTTCCATCCTGTCGCACAGCCATGGTGTGTCCACAGTTCCAGGAGCAATGCAGTTACAGCGAATACCATCCTTTATGAAGTCACATGCCACGGCTTTGGACATCCCAATCATGGCTGCTTTTGTTGCCCCGTAGATGCATCGCTCCTTAACTCCTGAATTACCAAAAAAATGACGCCATTGATTACATGCATCAAAAGTCTCAGACTATAAAAAAAAAATCCAGACTAGTTTTCAGAAACGTAGGCTCTGAACTTTGAGCCGACTCAGAAACAGAACTTCAATCAACTGGTTCTTCTCAGAACCACACAACACGCAAAGAGATACCATTCACATGGTGTTACCGCAAACCTCTCGTTCATAACTTCTAACTTATTCAAAAGTTAAAAGAAAAGAATTTTGGGCCATGTTTTCATTTTGAATGTCGTGTCTGTTGCTGAATTGAACTGAAAAGAGCACATATGATAACTCTTTTGAATTATCGGTCGAGCATTTCATATATTTTCGTTACCTTTAAGACTGGAGCATATAGAAGCCACGTTGACAATGCTGCCTGACTTCTTTTCAATCATCTGCACAATTTGGGGGAAAAAATCAAATGAAGTAATTAAACTCCCAATACCTGCACATGCAAACAGACGTTTTATACATTGTAACATTTTATTGTTTGTGAGCGACATGTCTTTCTCCAGAACGCAATATCAAAAGTAATTGCCAATTAAGTTATCGGCCATGTTAGAATAAGTTACAACTTGCAAAAGTATCGGTGACTGTACGACCATTGCAATGACAAAAGTTAAAACTCGACAAACCTTGGGCAGGAACGCCTTGATCATGTTGAACATGGACTTCACGTTTACGTTCATGGAGAAGTCAAAATCCTTCTCCGTTGTCTCCAAAATGGTTCCATGGAACACAAAGCTGTGTAAAAAAATAAAAAGTTCACATTGGTACTTAAATAATTTGCAAAAAAAATGAGAATTCTAGTTATAAATTGGGACGGCATTTAATTATTGCAAAACTAGATCCCCGAATCCCAAATTTGTGATTGGAAAATTTCAAATTCCAAGTCTTTGGAAAGGCTTTTGCCTCAACGCTAATATGCAGTCTGAAACCAAGACTAAGGAAATAAATATCCATTACCCCACACAATTGAAGATAATGTCGACGTGTCCTATCTCAGCGGCCAAGGCCTTGATTGCTTCATTGTCTGTCACGTCCAACTTCCGAATCTCAATTCCTAGAAACAAAACACATAAAACTGGAAAATTATTTGGGTCTGTCCCAACTCTACATGAGATGATGATGCAGTCAGGTCTAGTGTTTACTCTTTCGAAGCATTTCATCCTTTTTATTCATGTGCCAAACCTGGTATTCCTTCCAGCTCTTTCAACTTCTCCACGTTGATGTCCGTCGCGATGACCCTGGCACCTTCTCTTGCAAATGTCTGCAAAGGACAAAAAATGAACCAGCAGAAATATAGGCCTAAGTACAAGTCAGTGAGAAGCAATAAGTGCATATTCTGCATGGGGCTCGGGTCATTCTGCTAGAAACATAAAGGTGACCTCTCCATCTATTTGGATTCAAAGTTTTTACTCTGACAAACATGTATACCAAAAGATATATGACCCTGCAACCTTAGAACCCTAAATTATTTCCACGGTGTCCATAATTTGTATATGATTGTAACTCGATAATGTCTAAAGGCCTACCTCAGCTGTTCCCCTGCCAATGCCTTGGGCAGCCGCCGTGGTCACTGCCACTTTCCCGTCTAGCCTACCCATGTTGACCGTTCTTGTTCTTCGTGGGACGATGGTCCTTCAGCAGTTTTTACGCTGTATAATCAGATCATGGAGCTATAATCAGATAACGTCCGAAAACACCAAGCTATACATAGTACAGTAAACAATATCCATATGGCATGGCCTTGTAAATTACAAAGCACACGACCATATCGGAGGCCTTGGGAATACGGGCGATTCCAAATAGTGCGCCTCCAAGAGTTTGCAACGCGTTGGCCAATCACAATGCGCGAAATCAGTCGACCTTTTCCAAACGCGCATTGGGTCGACAGATTTTGCGCATTGTGATTGGCCAACGCGTTGCAAACTCTTGGAGGCGCACTGCAAATTGTACTTGCGTGCACGTGCGTATCGCTTCTTCTTCCGTCTTTCGAGCTACAAAAACCGGTGTAGACTCCGATCTCAAGTTTGGTATAGGCCTAAGTATCTTCACAACGGCTCTTTTGACATGTCCTAGCTGCCTACTCAGTGAGTGAAAGAAAACAGACATCCGCGATGATGTGCCGTCTGTTCTCAGTCACATGCTGGGCTACCGTGGCTTGAGCCCCATCCGATGTTGGAATTGAAACATCCCATACTCCCCAGTTTGCTCACTTTATCCGGGCATCACGCAGTTCACTTGGCCATGATGGGATTAAAGTGCGCCGGCAAAAATAGTGAAATGTGACTATGCCAGCTTTAACTTTCACTTTTGAGGTCGTTACTAGTTGCTGGAAAAGTTGGTACCCTTATTCTACACAAAACCCTTAGCGCTGGGGGTTGTGCATGCACAACCTTATCAGACGGCCAATCAACCGCTCAATTCAGGGCCTACTATTAAAAGGCAAAAACCGTGAGCCTCATCATAAAGAATAGGCTTAAGTTAGACAGAAGTACCAACTTTTACCAAAATGTACGGTCATGGTTGCTAGTAGCCCCGGCCCTCTGACTCAGTTTCTTTCTGGGAAAATTAAGCAAATAACTTTAATACTGATATGTAATGACGTCATAAAAGTGCGCAAAACCCGAATATTGCTAAAAAGTGATCTTTAGAAAGCAAATCCCGACACTTTGCATTGAGTTAAGGGGAGCTACTTCTCTTGCACATTAAAGTTTATAGTGGAGGAAATTGCTGTTTCATACTCTGCTCTGTCAGTGAGCCTAAAAACGATGTTTTGCTATAGTTAACCCTTAGATGCGCAGTTGAAATTATTAAGGGAATCAATGTGTGTTCGGGAGGTATTATAACACTCTGTTTAAGACCGGTTTGAGTCTGGATGGGCGATAATTACCCGAGGCGAAGCCGAGTAATTATCGCCCATCCAGACTCAAACCGGTCTTAAACAGAGTGTTTAATACCGACCGAACACACATTTATTCCCATTCATAAATACCTTTTTGGTCCAAAATAAAAAAAAATTCAAAATCTAAACGTTGCCAACCATTTTGTTCAACAATTTTGCATCATGTTTTACGAAACACCCCTCTGACTATAATATGGAATGCCCCTTCACAACTCGTTACCTAATAGGGACATTAATTGGCGTGCGCGTCGCGCGTACTGCGCGATGTCGCGCAAAACGCAGCTGGGCTGGTAAAGTGTGAAGTTTGGACCATGAAATACTGATTCACTGGTAGTACATTGCGCATGCATACGGGAGGAATTTGAACGTTCAGCCAATGAAACGTTAAAAGGCACCGGATTTCATAGGAGTCCAAATTTCATGTGACACTGGAAAAGCGTTTAAGACCAGCTAGCCATGTCTTTATCATCCGTTTAAGACCGGCCACGTGACGGGTTCTCGACCAATAAGAATGCGTAAACTGTCTGAGGTATTTATGAATAGCGTGTAAATGTGTTTGATAAATATAAATAAATGTATTGTCGATAATGGTCAAGTTGGACGACTTTTGTTATCATCATCACCAAAAAGACCATGGCACGGTCGAGAAACCACAGTGGACATAATAAAGAACCCATAGACGGACAACAGGGGGCGCAATTGCAAGCCGCCATTTTTAAAAACGTTGTTCGTCACGCTGCGATTCTGGAGTGGTCTTCAAAGAAGAATCGTCACAGTCACAGAGAAAGGTAAATTGCAGTGTTATGTCTTTTAATGAGAGCAGAACAAACCTGACAGAGTTTGTGTATGTTATATGTGGACATAGAGCAAGGAGAGAAAGCAAGTAATTTAGGAAATTGCATTCGATATTTTGAGGAAAAAAAGTATCCAGACGCCACTTTCATGACTTTACATTACATTGGCCCACTCGCCATGGTTTTCCTTGCTTGCATGGTCCATGGCACGTTGCATCTTGACTATACTTGTTTATTAGTTATCTCAATGAAGATCTCCTCGGCATTTCATCCGAATTTGGATGTTGCTGAGCACCACTGTAGAAGCAGAAGTGTGAAGTCAGTTATTGCAAAAAGGGGGAAATGTTGCAACATGACGCCACTTTTTTTCTTCGTAAAATCGTATATCATCTCAATGCATTGCAAAAATGACAATTAGACATGCATCTGGGACTGAGAAACATTTTCAATTTTGTTAGGAAATACTTTGAAACTTTTTTGGTGGGCCTTGGCTCGCTGGACACCACGTGACACTAGGGGGCGCTGTTCACGATACATATGCGCATCTTATGTTATGCCCCTTAATCTTACATCTAAATGGTCAACTCGTACGCGAACCAACTCGTACGCGACCAACTCGTACGCGGGTCAATTCGTACGCGAACCGACTCGTACGCGGACCGACTCGTACGCGGACCGACTCGTACGCGGACCAACTCGTACGCGGACCAACTCGTACATGTGAGTTTAGATGATTGGTTTAGCTCACATGGACAGATGAAATTAGGTTCGGTACGGTAGGTCGGCATAATTTTACCTTTTCTGAAAGGTTGAGATTTTCAAATTAAATGTAGTTGATTTTTGAATCCGCCAGTGCTACTTACATTCGCGATTTTTTAGAGAAGAATTCTGCGTTTGTTTGTTTGTTTTTTTACAAGTTCGCTTGATTGATTGGGAAGTTGTCTTCGCGATAACCAGTATGATTGGTTCCCGCCGCACCGCGCACTGTATAAAGAATGCATGATTGAATCGCTGAAACCTGTGTATGCCGCGGTACAATTGCTGGTTGGTTAGACAAGTAAAATGACAAGAAAACACCGATATTTGCGAGGTCTATTGTATAAAAAGGAGCTACTATAAAAAAAGGAATATAGCATCACGCATGCTTATACAGTTGTACGGACAGTGTCCGCCAGTTTTTGCTTGGGTCAGATAGTTTTTTAGTCCTAATTATTGTATATCCAAATAATATTTTGTAAAAAAGAAAAAATGGGGAGTTGATTTTTATTTTTTGTTAAAATCTGAATTTTATATAATTTCACCGGAAATGCGAGGTTTCTTGGGTCAAATGCGATTTTCTTGGGTCACTAAAAATCAATGTTTTGCTTGGGTCCGATTATTTTTTAGTCCTAATTATTATGTATCCAAATTATATTTTGTAAATTAAAACAATGGGGAGGTCAATTGGGTCAGTTTGACAATGGTGACAATTAATTGACTGACAGGTACATTGATTAAAAAAACACGAAAAATGCAACTGGTACATCGTTGCATTAATATATGGAATTAAATTTGACGTGACAAGGCTACAGTACAGGTATGCACAAAACGATACAACACTCGTCTAACTACAAAAATCAGTTACTTTATTATCATCATTCACGGGTTCACTCCCAATCACACACAACGGTCACACATTGAACTACGGACTACCCGTCACACTATTCCCAAATTCTTCCCAACCATGCCAACCCAATCCTCGAAACCACTCCTAAAACGGCCCGCGTACGAGTTGGTTCGCGTACGAGTTGGCTCGCGTACGAGTTGGCTCGCGTACGAGTTGGCACGCGTACGAGTTGGCTCGCGTACGAGTTGTCTCGCGTACGAGTTGACCAATCCGCGTACGAGTTGACTCGCATACGAGTTGGTTCGCGTACGAGTTGACCTGTTTCCATTTAAAACTCTTGTACTTATTGTCCTTTTTTCAGTACTATTAAAAAACATTTTGCTTACCTCAAATCAAAATCAGCCTTTTTTTGTTTCTCAACATGAAAAGTGGGGGGATGATCCAATGGCCCATCTCCCTGGTCAAAAGGCGGGGGGGGGGGGGGGGGGGGTATATACGCCTCTCCCCCCCCCCTTATTAACAGAGGTAGTCCAGTAAATTGGTCACATTTATGGGGCTAGGCACTGTTGAATTCTCCATCATGTCACATGATCCTCTCTCGACCAATTCAAATTCACAATCTACATGTCATGTACTGTAACAATTTATTTTGTGTTCAGCAGATTGCCGCAAGATCAGACAGCTCGACCAGGGGCTTGGCACAATTCAGATTCCATACGGGGAGGTGACCATTTGTTTGCGGCTGTGAACATGCAAGAATTGACAGGCCTGACGGGATGAAGGACTACTGAAGGACCATTGTCTGAAAGGAGTCAGTATGTGCATTCTTCAGGCACGCATTCAAGGGAAATTCTTCCATACACGTACGCCACTTTTTTTTCAATCAATTTTCAAGCACCAAAAATTAATTTATACTGTTCTTTCATCTATTTTCCCTCCTTGTCTCTCACTCTCTACCCTCTTCCAAACCTCTTTATTTACCAGTTACCTACTTCACCGGGATTCGAACCCGCCTTCTTAATCACACCAGCCTTATCCGCTACACTAGTCAAACGATCATTGCCAGTAAGGGACTATTGGATGTATTTAAAGTACATGTATAAGGCTAATGAATATTTAATAAACTAAATAATCATGACAAATTTAATATTCCTGATGGCGTATTACACTATCATTGGGTTCAGGTGGTGACGTGTGTCAATGTTACCTCATGTTCACCGCATACATCAATAACCGGACCAATGCCAAAGATTGCCGCCAAGACGATCTGCTGCCAAGCTGATGTGTGCATCCAAAGTGTGCTCTAAAAACACATTTTTCCGAAAATGTCTTCACATTTCCAGAGCTTTCTGGATTCGTCTTAGATGAAATCACAAGGTGAGGTGAACATTCCTTCCTCCATGGTTTGAGATAACGTACTAGTGACAAATTCATTCCCAATTTCTTTCAAAAGAGTATATTTTATTTAAAAGCATAGCAAGAATTAGGCTGAATAAAAAAAAACATGTTTCTCGTCCGAGTTTTTGGAAAAAAGGAGGAAGACCGGCTTTTTATTTTTCATTTTAAATTGTTTTCAAGATGGCCACCATTTTAAAATTTCCTGCAACCGTTGGTGTTTCCACTGTTAAAAAACTGTTTAAAATGAAAGACAAGTTGGACGAGAGAACTGAACATATTAACAGTGTCATTTAGAGTTAAATTGGTCTACAATGAGCAGTTTTTTATTTTCCGATGAATTTGTAGACTTTTTCAGTGTTTTTTTACTGCACTTTTCAAAACTAGAAAATAATTTTAAAAATCCAGGCGGCCTCCAAAAAGGAAGCGGGCGGGGACGAGAAACATGTTTTTTTCTTACTTCGCCTTACATGAATTTTGTTATACCTGTACAACAATAAAGTAAGTGGAACAAGACCAATACAACTTTTTAGGGGAACGATTTTGTAAAAGCTCTTTTTTTTTTAAAGAAAGTCCTTTTTCTTTGTTTTGTGTGTGTATGTGTGTGTGGAAATCATGTTAAATAATATTTAATACATGTTACAGGTCATTCTAAGGACATATGACACATGGTGGCCAAAAAGGTTTTTTAATTGCATTTTTAATTTATGCCAAAGCATACATGTAGATTCCCCAAAAATCTAATCTTTACCTCTTAACGTAGCATTCTCCTGCACTATTTTCAAGTTTCATCCCTAAAAAGGATAAATTCTAACTGCTGTTTTTGAAGTATACAAAAGTTCTTCACTTTTGATCGCATCATTGATTGCATCATTGCCCGTGTTAGATTGTTGAATTATTACTTCACAAATTTCTAGTTTCTTGAAGCCTGAAAATAAGTCCATTCTCCTAGGGTTGGCTGGCTTCCGCCCCACAATAAGTATCATTAATGTGCAGACTGCTGGGAACCAGTATGCTCCCAAGGCACATCTGTTCATTTCAGACGGTTGAAGAAATTAAAAAGGAGGTGTTTTTTTTTGGCTGCAATGAAAAAATCAAAAATGTATTAAAGGGAAGATACAACATTTGCAAACATCAAAAGGCAAAACTACTAAATTATTATGAAAGACCTTACTCAGGCATGCAACTTTTCCTCGGATCAGCTGATTTCCTCTTTTTTTGACCTCCCCTGTGTGTCATTAAAATAGAAAAACACTGTACAAAGCGTTGGAAAAAAAGAGGCTTTTCTCAAATCTGCCCACAATTTACCATATTAAGTTAGTCCGCATTTTGTTTGCAATAGATTACACACCTATGAACGGTTACAAGCCAGCTAGACTGGTTTCCTGACCTCACAATCCCCCAGCGTCGCTAAATTGCTTCGTTTCACCTTACAAGTGGGGTCAGGGAACCAGACTTCGTGAATGTAATTTTTTTATTTGGTTCTTCCAGCATCTACAAACACAAACGTTCAAACAAGCCAGTGTAGCAATATCCGCCGTAAAATACTAACCCCCAAATCCATCCATTTCTGAAAATTACAGCAAAGCGATTGTTGTGTATTTCCTTTAACAGAAAAGAAAATGAATTTGTTCAAGAACACACATACTGAAATTTGTATCACTGTGGAGACATTTCTTTGTTCTCGTGTAGTAAAGTTCTCGAGTTTGAAAGTGAAGTTTCAAAATGCTCTTATTTTAACCAGAATTAATTTCCTTGTCTGAAATTCAGACTTAATATCCCTTTTCTAAAACTCTTCCATTTGCGACGGATCAACCCACCTTGGAAATTCCTAGTTTTTGAGTAAAATAAACTTAAATTAATTTCATCTACAGAAATTGCCCTGTGGAGACGCATACAATCTTTTGTTCCGTATTGTGTGCATGTCTCCACAGGGTACGGTGTATCAGATCATCAGGACACAACTTCCATCCCAATTCATGTAGATTTTATATTGCCCCAAAACTCATAGATGTTTGGCTTATTTTGGTTAGTTTCAACAGATATGAAACAAGACAGAAGCAAGCAAGACAGCAAGCGAGCAAGAGAAGCAAGCAAGTGGTCAGCGAGATGTGTTCACTAAGGTAGGACTGACCCTTTGTTTCAGCCGTTAGCGCTCAAATTGAGCCAGTGAACACCCAAGACCCAGGAACTCAAGACCCAGGAACTCAAGACCCAGGAACTGTGTATACAGAGTGAGTCTAAAACGTTTATGTTACACGTATACAAATATTGAATGCTTCGAGTGGTGTAATTCGCATCGGGAAAATAGAATGCTCCATGGATCACCGAGGGAGGCTAGTTTTACTTCACCACGAGATAAAGCATTCAATATTTGTTTTACAACACTTCACCCACAGATTCTGCTTGGTTTTAATATTTCAAATTATTTAAATCTGAACACAGATGAAATAAACTTCAATTTCAATACAAAATTGGAGGAAAATGTATTTCTCTCTTCCACATTACCCCTTCGAGAAATGTTTGAACCTAAGTCTGCAGCGCGCTCTCTTTGGAACAATACACACGCTCTACGCGCAACGTGCACACCAGCATGCATTTGCACACAAATACCGCGCTGTGGATATAGTACTTTGGTTGCTAATGGTATAGTACTTTGGTTGCTACGGGTATAGTACTTTTGGCCGTGCACAGAAAGATAGCAAAAATAGAAAGTAACATGTGACTCGCTCTCGGCCAATCAAGACGCAGAATCTGTGGGTGAGGTGTTATAATTTTTATTATTATTGCCAAGCAAAGTTGAATGTTCCATACAATTGAACGGTCAATTTCCCAGCGACAGTATTGTCACCTATTGCACAATTTATATTGCAAGGCTCTAATATCTAGAGTGCATCTGACTACTTTTCATGCCAGAACTACAATTCCAAATTTGCCAGGTGACCAATGATGCGCATTTTATTTTGATTTTTTTGACTGGTTGGTCAAGTTTGCTTGGTTCTATATGTTTGTGATGTGTGGGTCGGTGGTGGTAGGTGTCGTGATTGTGCAGGGTGGTGGTTTCTCCGCAGGTCATCGGCTCAAATTGAGCACATCTCATCGGCTCAAATTGAGCAAACGTCGCAGGGCTAGGGATCTGCTTTATCCCGACGTCCTCGAGGACCAAGACGGATTATGGGATCAGTTTTATCCCTATGTCCCACCGTAAGACCAGCAGGACTATGGGATCATCTATATCCCTTTGTCCATCCGGGGAAGGATGTTGCAACTGGACTCGTCTCGGTGCTGCAAGGCTCCACTAATTTAATTCATATAGTGCACCGCCTTTAGGGCATAAACACGTACTTCCATAGGGACCTTTTTTTGTTAAATATTGATCAACAATGAGTGAAATATAAAAATTTCACTGAATAAATAGGGTTTTTTATCTCTTAGTTTAGCCATGGGATCTGTTATATCCCTATGAGAACAATAAGGCTATGGGATCTCCTTTATCCCTATGCCGTTAGGGCTTAGGGAGGTGCGGCGGTCTCGATTACTAATTGGGGTCTGACTGGGTGCTCCAATTGAGGTGCGGCGAAAATCCAGCACAGATTCAAGGGGCGAGTTGCGTCCGCGTGGTAGGTCCGCCTTCCACGTGGGGCGTGGGTCCTACGCAGCGGCCTGGAAACCCTAGGATGCCGTGCCATAAAGGAGCAGGTAGTGCGTTCCTCTTTATAGGGGCGTGGCCCTGTATTCACAGCCGGCAAACGCTGCTACTTCCTATCAGACCGCATGAACCCGTAAGGGGGATGGACTTAGGGGGGCGTGCATATAGGTTAGGGTGCTTTCCTGGTCCTTCGGGGCTGGGCGGGCGGACCGGACAGTCGATAACTGTGTCTGGCCCTCCGGGGCCTACCTTTTATCCAGCAATGGGCCTTACGATACTGAAAGCGCGTTGGGGCTGGTATCCTGGGACCTTCTCGTGGTGGCCCTGTTTAAACAGACCTTACCAGGATATTTGACCTGCTCAGTGAACATTAATCACAGTGTTACGTTTTCTTTTTTACGATTGTTTTAGATCTTCAGCTCTTGAGTGAAAATTTTCAGGCTTACCTTACAAAATTGTGCTTTCTAAACTTTAAAATATCCAAACTTTAAAAATCACATTTGCATAGATAAAATGAAATAAAAAGTTCCTTCCGTGCAACATTCTGAGTAATTTTGACTGAGCAGGTCACATTTATTAATGCGTTGTTTCTCTTTCAAACTATGAAAAGCCGCACAGAATTTGGAAAATTTTATATCCACTGAAGTGACAGGAACTCATTGCAGCAATTGAAAATGATGTAGAATTTTAAATATTGATGGCCAGTTCTGTGGACTCGGTTTTTGTAAAAACTTGGATTCTCAAAAATTGCTCATCTATCAGTGTTGAGACTAGGAATGCCTTTTTTGTGAATGATTTTCTTCAAAATTGTTAACACTGTTAGGTCATTAATTGTTTGTTGTATTTTGATCATTAAGTTGTTCATTGATTCAAAAAAGTATTTTCATTTAAAAATGATTGATTGTGAATTTGTTCACCTTTGTGCAGAATTACTGGGTATTTCTTGTGTATGCATTCTTGCCTTTTTGAAGCAAAAAGTTCAATATTTGTTGTTGAAATTTCTAACTTTGTCAACACTGTATCTCTTTTGAATTGCATTTTGGATGAAAGAATATTTGGGAATGTGTTCTAGGGCCATCAGGCGTCTTTGTAGCAAAATTTCAAGCGATTTCATTTTTTTCGCCAAAATTGTAAAAATTGCAAGGGGTTAGCCTTACATTTTTATCAAATTTCGACTTTTCAGGAAACAACTCAAAAAACACTTTACGATGCATGATAAACATATTTTAATACTCAAGTGATATTTTCAGAGATTTTGGCAAATTTAAAGATTTTATGGGAATTTTTTGTGTTTTCACTCAATTTTGTCAGTTTCTGGATGCCGTATTTCTTTTCAATGGCACATCTGTCAAGAGAACGTTTTGGAATGTGTTCTAAGGGCCCTCAGGCATCTTTCTAGCAATTTTCAAGCAATTTCATTTTTCGGCCAAAATCGAAATAATTGCAAGGGGTTAGCCTTACATTTTTATCAAATTTTGGTCAAAAATTTACTTTTTAGGAAACAACTCAGAAACACTTTAGGAGGCATGAGAAACATATTTTGATACTTCACAAGTGATTGTTTCAGAGATTTGGACAAATACAAAGATTTTATAAAAAACAAACAACTTTTTTCCATTCAATTTTTTCAATTTGTGCACGCCATATTTCCTTACAATGGCACATTTGGCAAGAGAAATTTTGAGAATGTGTTCTAAGGGCCCTCAGGCATCTTCCTAGCACTTTTAAAGGAATTTAATTTTTCGGCCACAATTGAAAAAATTGCAAGGGGTTAGCCTTACATTTTTATCAAATTTCGGTCAAAAATTTACTTTTCAGGAAACAACTCAGAAACACTTTACAATGCATGAGAAACATATTTTAATACTTCATAAGTGATTATTTCAGAGTTGTGGGCAAATACAAAGATTTTATGAATTTAGAAAAAAAAATTTACATTCCATTTTGTCAATTTGTGGACGCCATATTTCTTTACAAATGCACATCTGGAAAGAGAATGATTTTAAATATGTTCTAAGGGCCTTTGGGCATCTTTCTACCAATTTTCGAGCAATTTCATTTTTCGGCAAAAATTGAAAAAAATTGCAAGGGGTTAACCTTACATTTTTATCAAAATTTGGTCAAAAATTTACTTTTCTGGAAACAACTCAAAAACACCTTGGGATGCAAGACAAACACATTTCGATACTATAGAGCTGATTATTTGGGAGATTTGGTCCAGTTTTGAGAAATTTTGGAGGAAAAATTACAATATCTGTTGAATTTTTTTACTGATTTTGTCCATGCCCTATTTGCTATGAATTACACATCTGACGATTCAAAATGTGTTCTAAGGCCCCTTAGACATCAATCTAGCAAACCTAAAGCGATTTCATTTATCGGCCAAAATTGTCAAAAATTGCAAGGGGTTAGCCTTACATTTCTATAAAAATTTGGTCAAAATTGACTTTTCTGGAAACGACTTAAAAACAACTCCAGATGCAAGACAGACATGTTTTGAGTGTCTTCTGAGCTGATTATTCCATTTAATAAAATGTAAAGGATTTTTGGAGGAATAATTTTTCGGCCATTTTTTAAGGGGTAAACCTTGATACAAATCAACTTTGTATACTTAAATATCAAATATGGTAACTTTTTCTACCAGTGTCTAACTTGTTCAAATTGTTGGTGAATTATTTGTAAATTGTGTTCTGTGTTGAAAATAGATTTGTTTTAATAAACCTGAAAAAAATCTTACCGTAAACTGAAGCTGAACATGCCTCATTTTGTCCTTTATTGTGACTGTCCGTTTTTAAAATTATTGTTAAATAATTTTGGGCAGGGAGATATGTAAGAAGTAATTTCTTAATATAAAATAATTTGCAATAGAAATCAAATAAAAGTCTAGTTATAAGACTTAAGAGGCATTATTCTTTGGGATCGAGGTTAAAAAGCACTGGGAATGAGGTTAGAAACCCTGGGGAGGAGGTTGATGCCCTGGGAACAAGGTTAAATCACTGGGGACAAGGTTGAAACCCTGGGAAGGAGGTTAAAAACCCTGGGGATGAGGTTGAAACCCTGGGAAGGAGGTTAACGCCCTGGGAACGAGGTTGAAGCTCTGGGAACAAGGTTAAATCACTGGGGACGAGGTTGAAGCACTGGGGACAAGGTTGGAGCCCTGGGAAAGAGGATAGTAACCCTGGGAATGAGGTTTAAACTGAGTAAGGGGTTAACCTTGCATTTTTTTCAAATTTTGGTCAAAAATTGATTTCTCTTAAAACAACACAGAAACTATTGAAGATGCATGATAAACATTTTTTAATACTTCTAAAGTCATTATTTCAAAGAAAAATATTTTTATTAAGTATTTTTCACATTATTTCAATTTATCCAAGATGTGGACACATTGTTTCCTTTTAACATCACATCCGGCAAGAGAAATTTTGGGAATGTGTTCTAAGGGCCCTCAGGCATCTTTCTAGCAAATTTCAAGCAATTTCATTTTTTGGCCAAAATTGAAAAAAATTGTAAGGGGTTAGCCTTACATTTTTATCAAATTTTGGTCAAAAATTGACTTTTCTGGAAACAACTCCGAAACTCTTAAGGATGCATGATAAACACATTTCCATTATCCTCAAGAGGGTATTTCAAAGTTTTGGACAAATATAAAGGATTTATGACAAAAAAAACCAACTTTTTTTCCATTCAATTTTGTCAATTTGTGCATGCCATATTTCTTTTGAATGGCACATCTGGCAAGAGAACTTTTGGGAATGTGTTCTAAGGGCCCTCAGGCATCTTCATAACAAGTTTCAAGCAATTTCATTTTTCGGCCAAAATTGAAAAAAAATGCAAGGGGATAGCCTTACATTTTTAGCAAATTTTGGTCAAAAATTGACTTTTCTGGAAACACCTCAGAAACACTTTAAGGTGCACCATAAACATATTTTTTTATACTCCTGAACATATGATTTCAGAAAATTTTGCAAAATTGACTAGAAAAAGAGTTGTCTTCACTGATTTTCACAAATAAAATTGAAAAAAGGAATTGGTTATGAAAGAAATACTTGACAAAAGGAAAATCTAAATGTACACATTTGCATTAAAATATAAGGTAAAAAAAAAGGAAATAGATATCCGGAACTTTGACATTTCATGTCTAAGCAATGATGTTGAAATCTGACGGAGTTATCTTATAATAGATACTACAAAAATCAATTTAAAGCTCAATAAACATGTACATCCTCGTCATGGCACAAATTAAATACAAGAGATATGAACTTCTCCTTTCGTCTGTAATAATCCCTGATTTGAAATAGGCTGCATGAGATATGTTGTACTTGTTAATGACTGAATGATGTTGATTCCAACTTTCATCAGGAAAAAAAACTGCTCTGTACGCTACAATGCAATTTTATCAGTAGCAATATGAATCGAGTAGGGAAAAATGATGTTAATTTGCACATGGAAAACATGATCCACACTTCAATAAACAATCTAGTAGGAAAGAAAAAAAAGGAAAGATCGAATTTAGCCAAGTTTCAGTAGTTTTAAGTATCTTTTTGAACTACTAATCTCTTCATACTTATCCTCTATTTACAATAGAGAAAATCTCTGGTATTTTGAGCACTGCAAAACCGACCTAATACATATTGCATCAAGGTGTTTAGAGCCCTCTCTATCAGATAGCTGCTGTAAAGAAAACAAGGTTTTCACTTCTTTTTTTTTTTTACTTATTTTGAAATTTGAACCATTTGTTCAAGTGACTGTCTTTTTGCAATATATGTACACCATCTCCGAAATATGAAAATGTTACGCAGTAAATGTCAGAATTAAATGTCGGAGCAACTTGACTTGCCAGTTGCAAAGCATATGACCGCCCCTTGCCAACAGGGGGCGCTCTTTATGTGACCATTTAGGAATTGCACAATTGCACATTATAGACAATCATTCCTGGTATCCTCAGAGAGAGATTCAATTTGACAGCCACTAGCCGACAGAGGGCGCTTTTTATATGATCATTTCGGACTCGCAATTGCACTTTACAAAAAACTAGTATCCTTTTGAGGAAGCCTAATTTTTGTCGGTGATGGGTGAGGTTCAGCAACATAGCATTTGACTGCCGCTTGCAGAGATTTTGACTGCCACTACTTGACAACAGAGGGCGCTTGAGCGTTATCCACCTCGTCTATCTACACTCCAAGTTTCATGGTCTCCAAGGCTTTCCTCAGCCCCTCGTCCTGGATCTCCTTCTCCAGGGCGGCCACATCGTCCGCGAACCCCGCGGTTTCCTTGGACAGCAGGCCCAGCAGGTTTCCCAGTTTGACGAGATCGGGTCGTGAATTGGACAGCTTGAACTGCAAGGGGTGGTACCCAAGCTTGTTCAGGGCCCCGACCATCTGGCCCGTGGCGTTCTGGCTGTGCAGGAAGGAGACGAAGACCAGCTTGGCCGGGTAGACCTCCTCCGAGTACTTCTGAAACAGCTTGTCGAAGCTAGGACACCAGACAGGAAAACATGAATAGTCTTGATAATAAAAGATTATTAAACCTCAAAGGTTCAGAATTTTTTCATGTCAATGTGCATGTCTTGTGCATACTTGAACCCAAACATGGCTGCCAAATGCAAAGGCTCTATTGCTTTCCAACAATGTCCTTCTTGCAAAGCAATAACAGGAATGCTTACCGGTAGCTGGTTCCGTCCACACTAACACAGCCGTTTTCCTCTTCATCTGTGACCATGATGATTGTCTTCATGACCTTCTTCTGCTCGTAGTACGGCTGGAGGCTGGCCGCTGGTGCGGTGCTGCCCTCGGTGTTCAATGTTGACGCCAGATCAAGAACCTTTGGTGACAAATTAAAATATGTGATCAGTCCATTTTCATGTAACATTTCTGAGCTTATGGGGGTGGGAATTGGATTCAAACCCTGATCCTCTCAACTGCATTAACAAAAAAAAAGATTCGATGCTGGGATCGAATCGGAAAGAAAAGATATAACTGTATGTACCTCCTCGATGGTCTTGGGGAGTTTGTCGGGAACGTAGTTTCGATGGCTGAAGAAGGACAGTTCGGCGTTAGCGATGGCGGTCAGCAGACTGGCGATGATGGTGCTGGTCTTGATGGCCGTAGCCATGGACGGCGACCGGTCACCGATTACGGCCACTGGCGAGTCGATGGTCAATCTGTTGAAACAGCAACAAATAAAATCAAGTAAACTTTAAACTTCAAGACAAATGTCACCAATCTGTAGTCCAAAATTGCCAGATCTAATAGGGCTGTCACACACTAAGCCTTTTTTTTTTTTTTAATGAGGGTCGGCCATCACAAGGTAAGGACTACACCAAAAGAAGGGATAGAAAAGGAAATCCATAAAAAAAAGATTATTTCAAGCAGAAAGCTTCAACTGGGCAGATTATAACAAGAAAACTATCGGTAAGGACCTACAGAGTAAGGAAGTATGTGTGACAAAACTGATTGTATACTTCGGGTATAGCTTTAGGTACTCTTCCTAAATCCTCCAAAATCCTCTTTGCTAAATGGAGGATTTTGCAGGATTGAGGCTACATGGCAAAAATGTGTGGCTGATTTTGGAGGATGCACTGTGTCAAGGTCTTAGGCCGGACCTTGTGTTGTTTATGCTCAGCCGTGCATAAATTTAGGCCTAAATTATAAATGAAATCCTCCGCACTGCTCCAGGATGTTACTGGCTCTGCCTCAATATATTGACAGTGATTGCTGGAGGATTTTGTAGGGTTGAGGCAGTGGTCACCCCTCCAAGGACCACAATCAAGAAAGAACAAAGGATTTTGCAGGACTGTATGCTATTTTTAAGCTATTTTTAAGAGTATAAGCTCAGTTGTGCATTTGTGGGAAAAAAGGCCGTTGTTGCTTACTGTGTCTTCTCCAGTTGTTTTTGTGCTATGGAGATGAGTCGCTCGTACAGTTCTGTCGTCTCCTCCTTCTTGACAGAATCATCTAAATTACAAAACAGTACGAGAATAAAAGTAAGAAACTAGGAAAATTTTATATTCTGCAGCCCCTGCAATTGCATGAAATTAAAACCTTGTGTAGCATCACACAAAATTAAAATAATATGGTTTCGTTTGATATGGAACGGTCTCCTCTCAGCAGAAAAGTTGCTTCTTTAAACTAATGTTCACAAATCCATCTTAAATAATTACTAAAACTGACTTTCTGGTGAAACTACACCCATTTATGTTTGTGATGTCAAAAGAAGGCAAACAGATAAAAAGCATAAATCTAAAAATTAATGTGGCCTGAAGTTGCGAACTTAGCAAGTTCTTCTGCAGAGGCTAAAACAGAAAAAAAAGCATGTTAAACTTTTGACCCATGCATTTCTTGATCCGACACGCCTCCACAAATCGTGTTTAAGGATTTTTAAAAACTACAGTCAGCAACTTGTCAGCGTATATTTTAGACATTTTTCATCACGACTGAAATTGAACAATATCGCCAACACGTCACAATTGTTTTGGCTGCATTTCAATATCAAGCTCTGCTAAGTGTTGCGTCTGATTTCGTTACGACAAGTTGCACATGGAATCACTTACGGTCTCGCATTCCCTTGATGATCAGCAGACGTTCCATCAGCTTGCCATAAGGGAGGTTGATGTCTTCGCCACCCCTCAGTCGCTCGGCGATGACACGGTCCACCTCGGAGCAGGTCAGATCCTCGTAATTCCTGCAAACATTTGGGGAAAAGTGTCAATTATGTTGCAATCCGGTCCATCACATGTAAATCTTTAGGCGATTCAAAAGTATTGTGACAAATAACAGGAGGTGAACGATAACAAAGGAATGCTTTTGTCACTGGTCAGGTGACCTCTGTCATCACAAAAATGTAGTACATTATCATTGAGGTATCTAAAAAGTAAAGTTGGCTGTAGGGAAATGCTTTCCACTTTGTAGACTTGTTCAAACAAAGTTTCAGGACACTGACTCCTAAAAATGAATTTCATGAAATTGTCTGTGATTCACTGACTCACCACAGCAATGAGGTTATGTCCTTCTCGGCCCTCGCGATGCGCTCCTTGGACTCGTTGGACGGCTTGATGTGGAGTGACTTGAGATGAGCGTAAGGGATATTGACGGCCGCCATGATCTCGTTGGCCTTCTCCTGCGTGAGGTCTGCGCACTGGGCGACGATGGAGTCGTCAGGCGCTGGCGCCCCGAAGCAGTAGGGTAGGAACCAGGGAAGCTGGAAGTCCTATGGGCAAGAGGAAGGACGGAAAAGTTGCAGTCAAAGTTCTCACAAATAAATCACAAATCCATCACAAGTCAATCACATGTCGTTTTAGTCTGTCACATCACAAACTATTCAGATATGAACTGTGACAAAGGCATTGCTCTTTCTCTATTGTTGTGATTGACTTGTGATTGACTTATGATCTGACTTGAGATTGACTTTGTGATAGACTTGTGATTGACTCATGATTGGCTTGTGATTGACTTGTGATTGACTTATGATCTGACTTGAGATTGACTTTGTAATTGACTTTGTGATTTGACTTGTGATTGGCTTGTGATTAATTTATGATCTGACTTGTGATTGACTTGTGATTGATTAATGATCTGACTCGTGATTGACTTGTGATTGACTTTGAGATTGACTTGTGATTTGACTTGTGATCTGACTTGTCATTAACTTGTGATTGACATGTGGTTGTCTTGTGTGATCTGTGATTTGACTTGTGATGGAACTGACTACAATGCTAAAATATGGCAGCATTAATATTAATGATTTTGAGTGCACAAACAACCTGAAATATACCGACTGCAATGTTCAAACCAGGCTAAAGGACGGCACATAAAATCTGCTAAAGGTAATATTGTTGTGAACCTAGGATGCCATGGCAAGTATTCATACGGCAAATTCGCCGTTGAACACATTATAGCTCAGGAAAATTTCGCCCCGATGGGTCATTGTCATCAACTTTGCTTCGCATTATCATTCACGGCAAGTATGAACAGGGCTTAACACAACCCAACCAAACCAAACCCAATTTTATCCAACCCAATATTAGGAGCTCCAGAAAAGAAAGCTTTCAGTAAAGAAAAAAAATCTGAATCTGTCCAAGGCAGTACTTACGGTTTTGGGGTTGAAATGCACAAGATCGGCTAGTTTCTTCCAGGGCTCCTTAGGCAGGTGAAGAGCATAGAACTGCAGATCGTCTCCCGGGATGGTACGAACCCAGCCGTGGATGTGGCGAGAGATGGCTCCACTCAGAGACCCAACCTGGAATCAGAATAAAAGAAACCAAACAGTTTAACCCATTAGCACCTGTACTACATTGTATTACATTGTACTACATTGTTCTACATTGTATTACATTGTACTTCATTGTATTACATTGTACTACATTGTATTACATTGTACTACACTGTATTACGTTGTACTACAGTATTACGTTGTATTACGTTGTACTGCGTTGTATTACGTTGTACTGCGTTGTATTACGTTGTACTACATTGTACTACATTGTATTACATTGTACTACATTGTATTACATTGTACTACACTGTATTACGTTGTACTACACTGTATTACGTTGTACTACAGTATTACGTTGTACTACGTTGTATTACGTTCTACTACATTGTACTACATTGTACTACATTGTATTACATTGTACTACATTGTATTACATTGTACTACATTGTATTACATTGTGTTTATTCACTGATGAGTCCATAAAAACATAGCATACTTGAGCGTTTTGGGGTGCTACAGAGAGACAAATAGGCAGGCTGGTTTGGAGCTGTACGGTGACTAATGGGTGAATGCCAAACCCCATTAAATAAGGCTTGTTACGTCTGGTTAATAACTTACATTCAAGTACTTTCCGGGTGAGTATTTTTAACATGTCTTTTCTCAATATGAGTGCACAGTTCCTACTTCCAAATGACTAGATAATTTAATAACGTGTTTCATATAGCCATTGATAGGTTTCCTGCTGATGTTGGGCAAGTACACAAATTCAGCAATATTTTTCTGCTTATCGGAAATTGGGCCTGGAGTTTCTACAATGTCCAGACCTGGGCCTCACTTCACAGAACTGGTCTTACCGATGGTTTGATGGCGTTCAGGTTGTGGATCTGCGTCTTCATCTTGGCCACCTTGCTCTGCTTGTACTTGGGCTGCATCTGCAGACGCTTGAGCTTCTTCTCCCACTCCCGCATCCGGCGGCCCGAGTCCAGCAGCGTGACGGCCTTCAGCACCTCCACCAGGCCAAACTCCTTGCGCTGGGACAGCAAGCCGTCGGCCAGGTCGTGGTCCTTGCGGGCCCAGGCCGTGGCCAGAGCACGGGCTTTGGAACCTAAAGCAAATAGGAGAAACACAAAGAAAACATTACGTCATACCCAAGAAAAAAAGGACAGAACAACAAAGAATTCCTCGCAAACTTTCAGTGTGATGGATTCTGCTGTTGACTGCTTCTCCGCTTTTTGTTATTTTTAAATCCCTTTGCTCTGATAAAAATCGGCTGAGAAATATCTTCTGCTGTTTAATAATGCGTCAACTGTTCTTGTTGAAAACTGCACGGGCAGAAACTTTTTCAAACAAGTATATTTGGTGTGCTTTTCTCTTCAAGAATTCAAAAGTCTTACTTTGTTGGACCTCTGTTCCAGCCCTCTGAAGCACCAGCAGGGTAGCGATGTACTTGGTGCGGTCCTTCTCCTGGGCAGTATAATGCTTCTCAAAGGAGCTCTCTGATGTGAAGAGAGCGGGCAGATCGGCCATCACCTGGTAAAGACATTTGGAACTTGTCAATTTGGGACCATTTTTTTGACACGGATTGATAAATTTACGGAGTGCCGTAGTGGAGCATTGAATTCGTGGTCTGCGGGTAATTCTGCAGGTTGTGAGTTCCAGTCCAGCCTGGGGTTATGGTGCGAGTGACCTTGGGCAAGGCACTTTGTCACTCATTGTTTCTCCCCGCCCGGGAGTAAATGGGTACCTGTGAGAGCAGAGATGGTAATTGTGGTAGATTTTAGCCGCCTTGCGCCGAAATGGCAGCAAGCTGTATAATCCCGAAGGGAGTAGTTTTACTGGCCCAATGAGCACGGCCATAATGCATCAATACTGGTGGATTTGTGTGCTTTATAAGTAACACATTTTTATTATTTATTTCCATTAATTATTAGTTATCCTACAAATTCAAGCAGAACAAGGTTAAAAAAAGACCTTGTTTTTGGATAACTTAATCAGACTTTGTTTATTTTTGATAAACGATGAAAAATTAAGTGCTCTCCCAAACAACCACCCCACATTAAAAAAATTACAAACCAAAACCCCCCCCCCCCAAACTTTTACAATAAAAGCCCAAAGTACAAACTTACATTAACATAAAAATGTGGTCACTTTTGAGAAGGTTGTGGGTTAAGTCCCATCCCAGAAACATTGGGCCGTTTTTTTTTATTATTGGCAAGCTCTCCGACTTCACTGAACTTACAGTGCTTATAATTTAAATTTAAACAGAAAATGGAGAATTATTTTGTATGCATTCTTACATCGGTCTCAGTTTCATCCTTGGCAGTTGCTGTCAGTTCATAGGTGTCGTCCTTTGGTGTGCTCTGTTGGTTCGCTCCTTGCCGACCCTGCCTCCCCCCACGCCCACGTCCTCGTCCCCGGTAACCTCCACGTCGTGGTCGCGGCATTCTTCAAAGTGTGTTGATTTCCTTTGTTTTGGCAAGAAAAAAATATTTTAAGGAAAACAGAAAAAAGAAAAAGAAATGATGTACACGAACTGAAATGTGCACATAAAAGTTAAAAAGTAATATTTATTAAGTTAGTACAGTATTGAAACGTAGACAGGCCACAACAAAGCAAAAACGGGCGCAGAATCAATTTTCACTGCAGTTTTATTTAGTAAATTAACAAAATAAATAATTACACTTTCTACAACTAAGCAAGGCTGAGACTGGGGCAGTTCCGAGACCAATTTAGTGAAATATGAAATTGTGTAAACAGGATCCAGTGACAAACATGTACAAAGAACATGCACTCTACAAACCTAAGGATGCTGAGAACCACACCCTCTATACCCCTAGAACTATGGTACACGCCCTTCACAATATACTTGTAGATGTGCTTTCACTGAACTCAACTGCTGGACTCAGCCCGAAATTCCAGGCGCCTAGTTTAAACTGGGCTGACACCCAGAGCCAGAAGTTATTATGGGATTATGCAAATTCAACATTACTAAAATAAGCTTGAGATTAAAGTTACTGGGTATCTTGGTTTAAGGCTAATTCACAATAAAAGGATATTGTGGGCGTGCCTGGCTGGACTAGTCCACGTATTCCTCAGAGGGGGAAAGCCATGACTAGACTATACCATTCATGTACGGGGCCCCTGGTTTCCAGTACAAAGCTGTTTTTATTTTTGTTGAGGTACATGTTCAATTTCTGATAACGTTTATCAAAATAGGCCCAGTATACTTGTTAACAATTGAATTAAGAGACAGAAGATTTTAGAGTGAGTTGCATGCAACAAGTACAAAAAACTAAAAAGACAAAAAAATTATAGTCACCCTGTGACTAGGTCACAATTGTATTATAACATTACTCGTATCTCAAATAAGCAATAGTACAAGTTACGTACTTGTAAATAAATATTGAGGCTAAGTAAAATAACCAAAACAAAATGGGAAAATTAAAACAAACACAAGAGATCTACCCAAAAGGCCTACGATCATTGCGCAGAGGCTCAAGCAGTGTGTTATAATAACATCAAGTTTTCTAAAAAAAGAAAATTGGCCTACTTACTTTCTTTCGCTATCTGAAAATTAGGTGCATGCAGAGCGCAGTACTGTGTGCGCTGTCCTGTGTCCCGGAAATTTTCCCGGTGTCTTTCGTCTCGAATCCTCACAAAATGTCGCAGAATGACGGTACACCGAGACCGACGCCTGTTATATAGACCTGAAATCCGATTGCACAGGCAAGTGAAACTGAAAGATGGGCGGTTTTGCAGACGCTGGCGGTTACGAGCGATTTCATCATGATAAACCCAGGGTAGCGGAGATAAACAAAGATGACTCATTTTCCGTTTTTTTTTCATGCAAGGACAAAGTTCACTAGTTCAACTTCGGTATCTGTCCGCGAAAATTCTGCAGTGGCTTTCTCATCAAATGACGACACTGGTTGAAAAACCAGAGTTTGTATGACCTTGATAAATTGAAGATCTTCACAAAAGAGTACCAACTGTTTACTTTCAAGGATAAATTTGACAAACAAATCACCTTTCAGCAACAGAACTAGAACTGTGCGGCAGCTGATGAAAGATTGGGACACATTCGTTTGTATGATATGCGCACACGCATTTTGCATTGGTCCGATCCCCTGTCCTCTTCAAGCGTGCTAGCGTCGTATATGGATGGGGCAACCCGTCTACGCATACTTAGCCGTGTTACCAGTCGCAATATTGCGCAACATGTAAACAAACTCCATTGTTATGATTTTTTTGCTGCGCTTGCAATGACGTGTACTTCTAGACATAGTGATGACACAAAATGAAAATTTTGACCGACGGAATATTCTTGAACCGAATTTTTGACTGAAACTACACATCTTTCTCACAATTTCATCAGTATTAATGCTGCATGCAGTATGATGTACTGAAAATAAGAGGGACAAAATAGATTATTTTCCAGTGAAAACATATTGTATGTAAATTGTAATTGTAAATATCTGCGTCTTTGAACGGCAAGAAAATGATAATAACGATCAACCTTTTCTTGGTTTGAAATTGAATTTCGTGAAAATACGTCTTCCTGGTAATGCTATATTTTTGCTATTACTGACCAAAAAGCACTATTTATACATTTTTATAACGTATAAAATGTAGCTTAATTTCAAGTTGTAAAGATCAGCCCCTATTATATTCAAGATCAAAACACACAAAAACAAAATGACAGTGAGAACAAATTACTGACTGCATGAGAAGCCATGAGACTAAAGACCAAGATGACATCACGTCATGAATATGCAAATATATATTCACATAAAACTAAATTTAGAAAAATGGCTCTGAAACTCCTTCAAAATTGGCAACGGAAAGATGAATGACAAAAAAAAATTGCTGATACAAGAGTTAATTAATATTGCAATCTCTGAATTTTTTTATTGCAAAACAAAACGTAAAATTCATTAGTTAATTTTGTACATATACAATGCAAATATAGTTTGTACAGTTTATACATAAAAATATTACGCTCAGAAACGGTAATCAATCTTGCAAAGAAAGTAAAATAAATATGAAAAAGGCAGAAGTTTTTGAGGGGGGGGGGGTTGTAAAATAGAAAGTCAATTCCAATATTCTGAACATGGTTGAGTAATATTTTCACTTTGGCAAAGTTTATTCAACAAACCCTAGCACTGTCTTAATAGCCTAATCTTATGGTGTACAGTTACAAAGAACATTAATTGCTTGGAATTTTCTGAAAGGAACTCTCAAACCACAGGAAGTCGGATTCCTACACGACCTGAAGACATAAACTGACAATTCTCATATCAAAGGTGATACGCAACATTTTCTTTGCTGTCATTTTCAGAATTGGATGGATTTGGGGGTTAGAATTTGGCAGCCAATATTGTTACACTGATCTGTTTAAAGTTTTGTGTCCGTAGATGCTGGAAACACCAAGGAAACAAAAAAATGTTGTTCTTGTAGTCTGGTTCCCTGACCCTACTTCAGACAAAACGGAGCAATTTAGATGTCAGGGAATTGTCAGGTCAGGGAACCAGACTAGCTTGCTTGCACCTATTCGCGGATGTGTCAACCAATTGCAAACAAAATGTGGACTAAGTAAGTTTAGTAAACTGGGGGCAGTATTTGATAAAAAAGTCTGTTTTCTCCAAAGATGGTTGGCTGACCATCGTCGGAAATTGATACAAGCATTTCACTTTCCTTGAAAAGGACAGCACACCAGGATGCTGGAGACTATCATTTACTTACAGTCATGTAAAGTATTTCATAATAATTTGGTAGTTTTGTTTTTTGATGTTTGCAAATGATGTATAACACCAAACCACAGAACTTGATTTGTGTGCATGTACTTTTATTTTATGGGAGTAGGTAATAAATATGTATAGATTTTATAACTTATTGCATGATTAATGTTTTTTTTAAATTAAGATGCACAACTTATTGGTCTGAATAGTGCAAAGGGTTACAATTACAAAATGGATTAAAATAAAAGAACCTTACTAAAACAATTTGGCAGTGACTTGTTTAAAACAATAACAAAACGTTTGTGAAATGCGTTCAGGAATTTTGCAATAAAGGATACATTTTGAAAACAGACTGCATTGAATGAAGTGATAGCTGCAACAAGAAATATACACTTCAGGGCGAGTAAAAAAAAATGAATCCCAAATGTCGTGCCTATTGTTTTAGTGAAGTTCTTCATGTAGCACTTTCAAAATCTAGGATATAAAAGCCCAATTCATAAGCTTTCTTTTAGTACAAGAATCATTCAAATCACTCATGTTCTGTTCAAGTTACAGAGTTTTAAACACAACCACCGTTTTAAGGTTCTGTCCACAGATCACGAAAAAGTTCAGTGTTCTTTAAGCAAAACAAAAAGAAATCACATAGGCATGTGTGTGAATTGTTTTCGTTTTGCTGAAAGAACGCACACTTTTTTGGTGATCTGTGGACAGAACTTTAAAATGGTGGTTGTGTTTAAAATTCCATAACTTGAAAAGAACTTGAGTGATTCGAATGATGCTTGTACTAAAAAAAAGCTAATGAATTGGGCTTTCATGTCCTAGATTTTGAAAGTGCTACATGCAGAACTTCAATAAAACAATAGTCCCGACATTTGGGTTTCATTTTTTTTTGACTCACCCTGTATTTGTAAGAAATATACAGCATAGCACCTGTATTTGGTGGATCCCACCGTATTGTCCACAGTGTCACGACAACGTGGACTTGACATACAAAGTTTAGTTCTCTTTCCATTAGGGCTGTCCGTTTCCAAATAATATAGTATTCAATTACTCAAAACTGTGTGTGCCTGAATATTCAGATATTCGAAACTTGCATGCAGTGCGCGCCAGTTAAAATTTGCTTGCGACGATCGATATGGAGTGTCTTGCAATATTTTATAGCTGTCAAGGGCTTTGACCTGTTAAAAGGATAGAAACAATGAAATCCCTTTGACAAAAAAGTTACCATCGACAAAAAAAGTGGCACCCGACACTAAAAACGCCGCAACTTTATGATAACGTAACATCACAGTTGTGTGTGTGTGAGTTTGTTTCTGCATTGAATAGGGGACGTTGAACAATAGAGGACAATAGGGTCCTCAATTCCTGAAGGTCCACGATTGACTATCGTGTACAAAACATAATGGGAGGTCTTCCTAAAAATTAGAGTACAAACAAAAGAGGGACAATAGGGGGTCCACGATTGAAGGTATACGTAACCCCGAGGACCGACACACAAAGGGAGAACAACAGATCCTTTCAATCCTTGGGAGTTGGGTCTTTTGTTCAAAACGGTCCTCTGTAGTAGGTTTGTGTGCTTAGTCTATGGGAGAGTGTTATGTTACAGGGACGAAGGAAAACACAAAGCATTGTCCTTGGGAGTAAAGTAAAACAAGAGTATGTGTGTGTGTGTAGTTTTTTTTGTTTTTGAACACTCAAAATGGCAAAAAGCTTTTTGAATATTCAGTTGATGATCGAATATTTGGTATATATGGGGCAGCTCTAATGTCCATAAGCAGGGCAGTTTCATTAGCAAAGCAGTTTACATGGTTTTGGTAGTCCTTCAGGAATCTTGGTCTACAGGCAGGCACCAGTCTGAGCAAAGCGCTAACCCGCAATACTATGAAGAAGTCAAGGTACTGGCAGCCATGTGGCTCAATATGAACTGGAGTTTAGCGATACTGGATTCAAAAACTCCGGCAATGGGAAAAAGAATTCATAATACTGTGCCACACCCAGCAGTTGACTCAAAGAGGTCACTTTTCAACTTCATTGTTGATTGCTACATGCATATTATCTTGTAGTTATCCATCTGTCCGTTATTATTTCTGTTCGATGCCACAGAGGCACATAAAAATTTGGAAGCAATGTTAAGAAAATTTGTTTTTCAAAGAACAAAATTCCATACAACTTCCAAGTTCTTGTTGCCCAGTGCGACACTGTTTGGGAATGTCAGAAAATGGACGTCATTTTTTTCTCGATGACGCACTGCGGGTGAAGTAGTACAATTTCTGTATTCTAAAATGCTCATTTTTGTTATCGCTGTCTTCTTATTAAAAAAATAGCTTTGTCAAAAGTTGCATTCTGTTCTTTGCATTGTTTACTATGGCTTTGGCAGCATTCAAGTTCTGAAAGACGTCACTTGACGCAGAGGAAACCGCGGACGTTGAACAAAAACGTCTCCAGCCTGCTCAGGAATTGCACTTTGTTCTTTCTGGCCAATTGGAGGGGCTCTTCTGCGGGCGTCAGCTTGCTGAAGGCCTCGGCCAAGCGCTGATAGACGGCCGGATCTGATTGGCTGCTGAGAAGCACGTTGACCAGTTCCGTGTACTTGGCCTTTTGGGAAAAACACGGACAAGATATGAATTCACCCTTTCAGTCTGTAAAATTAATTGACTCGGATTCATACCATATTAAAGCTAGCAAATTATTTCTTGATATGCTCTTAACTGTCCCCTGAATTTTCAACATATGGTGAAGTGTGGTTTTAAACTTGGCACTAAAACAATGAAACTGCGTATTTGCGATGTCGAGGTAAGATTTCGCACTGCGAATATGTAAAAGGTGAACAAGTCTTGCAAAGTAGACACAACTCCAAAGTTCAACTCTGGCATATTTCAGTTAAAGGTAACTTGACGTCAAACTCACCTTGAACTCGCATTAAATTTGAACTGATCTTAAAGATGAAAAAAATGAAAAAAGTAAAACTGCTGCAAACTGCTTACTGACTGGATGGACCTGAAATATATAAATCTTAAAATTAATGTGGCCTGACGTTGCGAACTTAGCAAGTTCTTCTTCAGAGGCTAAAACAGAAATGACAGAGATACATACATTAACATGGGGGTGCACACAAACATGCAGGGCTGAAAGAAGAAACACAAAAGGAGGATTAGGAGGGAAAGGTGTGGAAAGATGCAGGGGAGGGTGGATGAGAGAACAAAGAAACAAAGGGAGATGGCAAACCACAAGGGGTCTGGTGTAAACAGGGGAGGGACCAGAAAGGGGAAGGATCAAAGGTCACAGGGAGTGGGAACGGACAAAAGAGTGTGAGAGTGAAGGGATGATGCGGGGGGGGGGGGGGGGGGGGGGGACAGTATAGAGGTGGAAAGGGATGAAAGATGGTGGGAGATGTGTTAACACAAACAAGGAAGACCAGATGGATTATCTGTAACAGAGGACAATGGAGGAAGAAAAGGATTAATCATTTCCAAGTTGGATGTTGAGACCATGTGGTTGAATAGTTCGAAGACGATTCATCCACACCTTCTCTCTGCTGAGGCGAACTGACTCTTTGCGATGGCCAAGAGATTCAATGCCCTGCAAAATCATATCAGAAATGGAGTGGTTAGGCAGGTTGAAGTGATGACCAACAGGGGTGTCTAGTTTCTTGGTGTTGACCGTTGACCGATGGGCATAGAAACGCTTCTTGAGCGTATTCTTAGTCTCACCTACATACTGCACTCCACAGACCCTGCAAGAAATGAGATATATGACATTAGAGGTGTTACAAGTGATGTTACCAATGGTTCTGTGGGTAGTGACAGAAGAGTGGCCAGAAAAGGAGTCAGACTCCTGGATATGAATCTGGCAGACAACACATCTGGAACTGCACTTGAAAGTACCATGCTGGGTGGGAGGGGATGCATCTAAGGATGGGACTTCAGCTCGAACAATCAAGTCCCGTAGATTTCGAGGACGCCTGTAAGCCAATGTGGGGCCGTTGGGGATGGCGCGGGCAAGGCGATCTGAAGTATGGAGGATATGATGATTGTCATTAGTGATTTTGCGGAGGGGAGGGAGATTGGGGTGAAACGTGGTAACCAAGGGAATCATGGGTTTGGCCATGGCATCAGGGGCCTTTCCCGTGAGAGCTTGATTTCTGGGGATAGATTTAGCTCTGGCAATGGCACGATGAACTTGGCGAGAGCTGTGACCCCTGGCCACCAAGTTGTTCTTCAGTATCTGTGTATGGCGGGAGAAATCGGAATCATTAGAACAAATTCTTCTGAGTCTGAGTGCCTGGCTAAACGCTATGCCAGTTTTGCTGTGCCTGGGGTGACAGCTGGAGGAGTGGAGGTACTGGTGGGTGTCTGTGGGTTTGGAATACAGGTCAGTGGTTAGTGAGTTGCCTTGCTTGCGGACGGTGACATCCAGAAAGTGGGTTTGGTGAGCCGAGAACTCCGATGTGAATTTGATGGTTCTGTGGAAGGAATTGATGTGGTTAGTGAAGGTCAAGAGACTGTCCTCATCACTGGTCCAGATGAAGAAAACATCATCAATATATCTCCACCAGATCCAAGGGCGACATGGGGCCGAGGCAAGAATGCGTTCTTCGAGGTCGCCCATGAAGAGGCAAGCCATCGACGGGGCCATGCGAGTGCCCATTGCAGTGCCGTGTACCTGTAGATAGTGTTCACCAAGGAAGGAAAAATTGTTCTTCGTTAGTATAAGTCTCATGAGGGTGCCAACATCACTGATGGGAGGAGTCGTGTGTCCTGCCTTGGCCAGAGCCAAGGAGCAAGCACGAACTCCCTCCTCATGTGGGATGTTGGTGTACAGAGATGAGACGTCGAAAGTCCCAATGATGGCTGTGCTGGGAATCTGGTCCTTGATTCCTTCAAGCTTGCGTAGGAAGTCTGGGGTGTCGTGAATGTATGACGAAATCTGTGGGACAAGGGGTTTGAGAAAACTGTCAATGAACAGGGAGATGCGTTCCGTGGGTGAGCCATTACCGGAGATGATGGGTCTACCGGGGTTGCCAGCCTTGTGAATCTTGGGTAGCAGGTAAAATCTGGCAGTCCTACAATCACAGGGAGAAAGAAATTTGTGAGCTTTCTTCGACAACTGGTCACGTGATCGCATATCGTCAAGTACCTGTTGTATATCTTGACAGAAAGTGCCTGTGGGGTCAGAGTCAAGGCGGGTATAGTTAGTGCGATTATCCAACTGGCGGTGGGCCTCATCAATGTACTGCTGACGATCCATGATGACCACAGCTGAACCTTTATCTGCTGGCTTGATGATGATGTCGGTGCGAGAGCGCAAGGAGTTGAGAGCCAGGCGCTCCTCTCTGGGGAGATTATCATGAGTCCTGTGGGGGAAGTTGTCCGGGTTAGTGACTTGGGAATTGATAACTTGAACGTATGTCTCTATGGCTGGCACACGATTCTTGGGGGGTACCCATGAACTCTTGACTCGAAAAGGCTCTGGCTCACACGGTTCACTGTCCAGTGATCTTAAAGATGTTTTACACAAGACACTGATCTGAGAATAGTCAAAGTGAATGAAGTAAAACATCATTCTTCATTACAGAGAGAAAGATGTAATGTATATGTGCAGGTTTCCATTCTAAAAATGTTTGACAAGACTGTTTGAGGAGTTAAATGACTCTCATTTTTACCTGATGACAGCAAACAAGGGAATAAAAAGCCTCAGCTGCTGACGATATCAACTCCATGTCAAAAGTCTGCATTAGCACTATCTTGAAGACCACCTGTGTACAAATTTATGCAAACAGAAAGAAAAAATGACGAAAATGAGGGGAATTAAAAATATAATCAGTTTTGTACCAAGACTACTAAAACACATTGTGATGAAATCCAAACCCCTCCCCCCACCCCACCCCACCTCCCAGGAGCTTGCCTCGGTGAAATGCCTCATGGCCTGGAAGAGGGCGCCCTCCCTCATCTGGTTCTCCACGCAGTGGCCGGCCAGCGTGGCCAGCCCGTCCAGGCACATCTTGGTCACGTCCGCGCCGTACTCCGACAGGCCCACCTCCAGCGAGGCCATGAAGTTGGTGAAGAGCGACTCGGCCAGCAGGCAGATCTTGTCCGGGAAGAGCTCGCAGATGAACGTGATCAGCTTGAAGTACTCCGAGCACAGGATCGGAAACTGAAGAGAAAACAAGAAAAAGGTCAATTTTTTTCAACATCTGTTTTTTTGCTGAGAAAATGGCATAAAGGTTTTGAATTTCTAGGCAACTTTACCATATATGTTACCTGTGGAACTGATTTCTTTGGGTCAAGTTATAAATAACCTTTCGTTCTAATTCCTTAAAAAGGGCGCAGAGAAAAGCCATCAAACATTTCAGCTCGGAACAATTTCTTTTTGGCACATAGATCAAGTCGACCGCAGCCAGCATGAACTGAATTGTACTGTGACTGATTCAATTACACGTTGTCACTTACTTTCAGGAGGTTTGCGTTCATGAGCGGCACCACAATGTTCAAGCCATGCAGGACGATATCAGACGACTCTATGGCATTGTTGACGTCTTCTACACACAAACCAAAAAAGAAAGAATTCTAAAAAGTGGCACAAAGTTTTAATTATGAAGGATAATATTAAGACATAATGTCAAAGTGTGCGTTTAAAGTGCGCCATCTTGGGAGGCCAAAATATTAACACTGTACCAAACGCGTTAATCTCCATTGGAGAACACTGGCTATGGGCTGAAGCATGCAGCCATGTTGGGAGGCCGAAAAAAAGTGACTCCTGGTTCTGCACTACTGGGATCAGTAACTGTGGCATGAACCATGCAGCCATGTTGGGGGCCCAAAAAGTGACTTGCAATGGCTTCATTGCCTTGTGCAAGGCATTGGTTGGAAGAAACAATGACATCAAGCTAGTAGACCCTGGTTTAATAACTACTCAAGGTTTTCAGTGAAGTTTAAAATCCATGTGGGGCCCAGGGATCCAGGTCAGGGATCCTACCAGTATCCTGCTGCCTACCGTCGTCCAGAAAGACAAACATGTCTCTTGAGAAGAGACTAGACAGCAGCTCCATCATGAGAGACAGGTCCCGGTACTGTTCCTCCTCAGCTAAGACCTCCACGCTGGTCCTGCCTAGGTTGGCTTCCGAGTAGGCTTGAAGTAAGGCTAGCGATACCTCGTACATCTTCACGGACTCCGCCTGTATCGAGGGAAAAAAATCCATTGTGAGTTGGCTTGTGAATGGCTTGTGATTGATTTTTTTGTTATGGATATTATTTTGCTGATGGAGTTGTGACAGCCTCTCAACTGACTAATTATTTAATGGTGTTTGACTTGTGACAGACTTGTGATTGACTTGTGATGACTTGTGATAGACTTGTGATAGACTTGTGATTGACTTGTGATTGACTTGTGATTGACTTGTGATTTGACTTGTGATTGACTTGTGATTTGACTTGTGATTGACTTGTGATTGACTCGTGATTGACTTGTGATTGATTTGTGACTGACCTGTGATAGACTTGTGATTGACTAGTAATTTTCTTGTGATGAATCATGACTGTCTTGTGATTGATATGTGAGTTGATTTGTGATTATTGTGTGATTAACCTGCGATGGACTTGTGATTGACTTGTGATTGACTTGTGATTGACTTGTGATTGACTTGTGATTGACTTGTGATGACTTGCTACTGAACTACAACTGACTGTGATGGACATGTGAAAGACTTATGATTGACTTGTCTTGTGACTGAGTCATGATGAACTTGTGATTGAGTCATGATCGACTTGTGACTGACTTGTGACTGACTTGTGACTGACTAATGATTGACTTGTGATGTCTTGTGATAACTCGATCACAAACTCTTCTGATCACCTGCGTCAGGAAGCACAGCTGGTGCATAGCCACCTCCACAAACACCTCCAGCACCTGCTCCACCAGCTCCGGGTAGTTGTGATAGATGCGCAGCAGCGACACCCCGTCCCGCAGCATGGGCAGGCAGAAGGTGAAGAGCTCACTGGCCCGGTTGACCTGGGTGCCTAGGACCACGCCCCGCAGGAGGCACAGGAGATGGGCCACTGAGGACTTGACGTTGGTCTGCAGGGCACGGCTGGCGAAGTCCTCGCGATGGAGAAGCTCTCGGAAGGCCTGCTGGACAGGGTTTAGGATCTTGGGAATTCGAATGAGAGAGAGGGAGAGAGTTAAATATAAGGCATAGCTGCAAATTGATATGGTGAGCAAAAAGCAACATAAATTTTATAATAATTTGGCTGTCAGGCCAAAAAAAAAAAATATTCGGTCTCTGGTCAGACCAAAGTTCCGGAATTGACGCGGGGACGCATTTTTTTTTTTTTTTTTTGGCTTTTTTTTTTTTCTTCTTCAAGCTTGGATTGTACAGACAAGGTGGGGTACTATTTTGCTATTTGGTGTCCTCATGTACATTGGTGTCCTCCATAATTTGCCTTGATGCTCTCGATCATTTGCCTTGGTGCAATTTCCCATTCCTTGGTGCTCTTTGGTAAAAAAAATTGAGGAGGTGCGGCAACAGAGGGCGCTGTTGCAGCTACCGCGGAACATTTTGGAAAAAAAAGATTGACGCGCGCTGACCAGAGACCGACTTATTTTTGGGGGGGGCCTTATCCTCTTTTGCTTTGTGGAGATGCTTGGTACAAAATTTGCTAAGCACGAAAGAAATCTGCTAAGCAAAAACAGGTAACCAGAGAAAATTCCATGCAATGTTAATTGTTTGTGGCTGGTACCCTGCTGAATTGTGCTTAGCACACTTATCTGCTGAGCAACAGTTTCTGCTTAGAAGCTCCATGTAACTAAACCTGTTTGCTATATGGTTCAACAATAATGTACCTCATTCTCAAAGCGCTGCCTCTCGTTAGTCTTGTCCGGTATGCAGGAGCCTGCCATGACTAGGGCCTGCATGAGGCTGGACCGGACGTCCAACGGAAGGGTGTCCAGCTTGGAGGGCTTGGAGGAGTGTAGCTTGGCCAGGACCCAGTAGCTGTCGCACTGCGTGGCTGGGATTGCCCTGGAAAGAGTGACAAAATAAATACTTCCAAGCGTGCAATACTTGTTCCAAGATTCAAGATTACAAATTGACTTAATAGGATGGCAATCTATGTTATAACCAAAGGGTACTTAGGACTGAATGGCATGTGATTGACTTGTGAGGACGTATGACTTGTGAGGACGTAGATGACTTAAGAGGACTTGTGAGGGATGTGAGAACTTTCGGGGAGTTGTGATGGCTTGTGATGACTTGTGGGGACTTATGGGGACTTGTGATGACTTGTGGGAAATTGTCAGGACTTTTGAGGACTTGTGAGGATTTGAGATGGCTTGTGAGGGCTTTTGAGGATATGTAGTGGTTTGTGAGGACTTGTAATGGCTTGTGGGGACTTGTGTGAGTTGTAAGGACTTGTGAAGACTTGTTTGTGCCTTGCAATGTACTTGTGAGGACTTGTAAGCAATTGTGAGGACTTATAAGATCTGATAAGAGCTTAAGAGGATTTGTTTGAACTTGTGAGTACTTGTGAAGATTTGTGAAGACTTGTAAGGACTTGTGGGGACTTGTGATGGACTTGGACACAACACTGAATGGGCTGAACTGTGCCTCATACTCACTTGTCCTTTCTGTTGACCAGTGCCACCATCAGGTCAATGGTGTCCTTGGCCAGCTCATGCTCAGATGACCAGACCACGAGGTTGGTTACCACCTTCTGCAGGAGGAAGTTGACCATCCACTGACCGCCGGCCGAGTCCTGGCCAAAGACAGTGTTGAGTGGAAGACTTATCTGGGGAATAAAAAAAAATTGACGATATGATATTACTGATTTGTATTTTCACGGTTTTCTTACTGACGGAAACATGAGTTATCTATAATTAGACCAAATTTATTACCAAAATTAAAATTTCAGAATTTTTTTTTTAAACACACTAGTATTATCTGCACTGTGCCTCCAAGTTGCATCTGAAAACTGCCTTGTGTGAATTGGCCAATAACCAAACACAATTGGTCATTTCTGAAACTCAGGCTTCGTTACCAGGTTTGACTGAGCTTCTTTTTCAGATCCATGCCCTTGGAGACTCAAACTCGATGTATGCCACTTTTATACTAAAGGAACATCAAGCCTTATCACAAAAGCCAAAGTGTTTAGTCTACCCATTGGTACAAACATGAAATGTTGACAAATGATTTTTGGGGCCAAGGAAAAATACAAAGCTGGAAAATAAGTCTAGGTTTGAAAAATGGCCATTATCTGCATCAATAGCCACTTTTCAAAACGTGGCTTTGTTTCAGACTCACCTCTGAATAATACTTCTCGTGTAGTAGTAGGTATGGTATGAGCCACCGTCTCAAGCACCAGACGGTACTCCGGCCAACCTGGGGGCTTAGGACTCCGGCAAAATCCGACAATGCTTGCCTCTCGACTTCCGCTAAGCGTACAATAGCTGCTATTAACCTGGACAAGACAGAACCCCGGAGCAAAAAACAAACAAACAGGGTTACCGACCAAACTGTCATGCAGGGTAAACAGTCCTTGTAACTGGTGCTCCGCTGATTCATGCTTAGCACAAAAATCTGCTAAGCAATGATTTCTGCTTTCTGTTAAGCAGACACAAGTAATCAAACAAGCAAGTCATCTTACCTAACTACCTTATCTACTTTCTCGTCGTGGACTATGGGCTGGGATATATTCGTGGAGGACGTCAGTGCGTGAAGCGACTTCTGCACGTCCACGTTGCACGCTTGGCCGATGGAATACTGCATGATTTCGGCCGGGACCATGGGCGTCTCTCCCTTGGACTCGTTGGCTAAGATGAACCCTGCATCGGTGACAGAAATGACAAATCTCAAAACTTTCAACAAATTGTGAATATCTGTATACATTATAACCTCAATGTTTGCCTCATGAATATTATTTGTTCATGAATTCTGATCACTGATTAGCAAGAGTATGCTCATCAACAAAGAAACTCATAAAAAGAGAACTGACCATAGTTAAAAAACAAAATTCTGGTCACTCTTGATGCTGAAGTATCATTTACACCAAAATGACATCCCTAAGATAACATCACTATTTTGTCATGAATATGCACATTCATTACCATAAAATTACAAACAGTGCAAAAATACCCATTTAAAAAAGCATTTTAATGAAAAAAAAAGTATGATGGATAAAAATGCATACTTCAATGATTTGATAAAAAATCAAAAATATGTCAACTACATGGACCTTTAAATTCTGATGGATATTTTTTATCATTTGGCCCTTTTTAGGGGTGGGGCCTGGGTCGGTGGTGGGGGCGTACCTGTTATAAGGAGCAGCCAATGCAGGTCCTCATAGAGGAAGTGGATTTGCTTCATGTTTTGGTCTAGGTCTAAGTTGTGGCTGGCCGCGGCTCCCGTTCTGTGATGCTGTAACCGCATCAGATGGGTCTGTAGACTGGTTACCCTGTCTTCCAGGATTCTATGCCAAAAAATGAGTAAAAACTTGTCAAATTCCTTAATCCACAGGTACAGTTTTCAATAGAAATAATGAACCCGTAACACCATTGAGAGCTTGGGCAGTTTTGGGCAGTACAGGAACAGACAGGGTGGTTTTGGGTGGTACAGGGGGTAACTGGCAGGGGGCTTCGGACAGTACACGAATTACATGTAGGGTGGTTTGGGCGGTAAAGGGAGTAACAGGCAGGGCGGTTTGGGCAGTACAGGGAGTAACAGGCAGGGCGGTTTGGGGTAGTACAGGGAGCAACAGTCAGGGCGGTTTCGGGCAGTACAGGGAGCAACAGTCAGGGCGGTTTGGGGCAGTACAGGGAGCAACAGTCAGGGCGGTTTCGGGCAGTACAGGGAGTAACAGGCACAGTGGTTTGGGACGGTACAGGGAGTAATAGTAAGGGCAAATTGGGGTGGTACAGGGAGTAACAGGCATGGCAGTTTTGGACAAGTAAACGCTTACTTTGACAACAGTGGAATGCTATGTTCTGGAATGGCTCGTCCCAAGACTCCGATGCATCCAAGTTGCTCCTCAAACAACTCCCGGTCGTCTTCCTCGACCTCATTGATTTCTTCCTCATCATCGCTAGACTCTCCGTTTTCTCTCTGAAAAGAGGGAGGTTTGTCAAATCATACTGTGTATGCATTGGACTGTTTGGGTAAGTCTTACAGGGAATATTGTCATTATAACCAATTTATTAAAGTTATGTGTGAACAGCAGTGTTCTATTCGCATCCATCACAAGTCCTGTCACAGATGAATCACAAGTCCATCGCAAGTTCTCACTTGAGCACTTGTGATGGACTTGTGAGGACTTGTAATGGATTCAACTACAACACTGGTGGACAGCCAATAAACTTCCCAACCTGTCGATTACAGATCATCGACTGCAAATTTTTACCCTCTTCAGCAGTGAGTTCTACAAAGTAAGCCGTGTAGATCACTCAAATCAAATCGAATCAAATCAGATCAAATCAGATCCAATCGGATCAAATAAAATCAAAATCAAAATCAAAATCAAAATCAAAATCAAAATCAAATTCAAAATCAAAATCAAATTCAAAATCAAAATCAAAATCAAAATCAAAATCAAATTCAAAATCAAAATCAAAATCAAACTGAACTGAACTGAACTGAACTGAACTGAAATCAGATCAGATCAGATCAGATCAAATCAAATCAAACTATCAGTGTACCAGATTGCGGAGTCCATCTGGCGCCCCCAGGTGGCACTGCAGGTACAGATTGAAGATCTGGGTGGCGTGAGGTTTGAAGTAACCGTCGGGAAACTTGGCAGCGTTGTCCAGCAGGCTGAGCCAGCACTCCAGGAGCTTGTCGTAGGCCTCCATGTACTGCTGGTCATCCTTGTGCATCTATTAAGACAGCATGGGAGAAAGCAAAATGTCAAAACAAAAGCCAAAAAGGTAGTGACAGGTCCTGTTCCTAAACAAAATGAATATTCACTGTTAGGTTATTGAACTCACTTAACTAGTTCACAATGTCGAAAACCAACAAGAATGTTGTTGATAGAGGGCAGGGTTTTTGGTAATTTTTTTTTTTGGGGGGGGGGGGTTGTAAGTAAAGTGAAGTTGTAAGTAAAGCGAAGATGAATGATGAATTAACAACATGCATGAAAATAGATATTGTTATCACTGCAAAGTACTGTGAATGCACATTGATTCCCATGGTATCAGCTGGAAAATCAGTAAGACAAATGCATTTTCTTCTAAAAGATACTGTTCAAAATTACAAAAAAATAGGGTCATTAGAAATAAAAGATTGCTTATAGTTTGCAGAAGCCATTTAGGAATGATAAAAACAATCTGGGGATTAAAACGAAAGGCTGGCCCATAACTTCACAATCACCCAAAATAAAATCATTATTAAACCCATTTGTCCCTGTACCCCAAACTGTGGAGCACTTTATAGCTTCAATTTTGAGTGGCAAGCTGAAGTCAATGATAAGAAGTACAGTGATTTATAAAGGGCGCCCTCGTTTGACAAACAACTACTTTGGAGTTCTCTAATCATCAGTTAAACTACACAGTCAGGTCCCTACATGTATATCATTATATGGTTTAAAGTATTTTTTTATTTTAAAGAGTGGTGGTAATCAACTGAATATTGCAATAGAAATTCAGAAAACTTAACTTTTCCACTTTGTATTTAAAGAAAAAAAATCATTTGGAGTATTTTTATTGGGTTGTGACAGGTTTCAAAAAAATTCAAGCTGGAGCCTCGAGATGCAGCCCAAGCCAAAGAGGAAGCCGGGATTTCGTAAATGGCACATGCTTGCATGCTGCCCACCTCTCCCCCCCCCCCCCCCCCAATATCACCACACAGAAAGGAACTATTATTTTCTAGAAGAGTCAGGTCCCTGTCAATCTACCCCAATCATAGAAGTGCGACCTTGAGGGCTCCAGACCACACTAAGGTCACCTACTGAAACACCCAGGGGCGATTACAATCTTCAAACACTGTCCTCCATTGTACTGGCGCTAGCGTGTGTTCCTCCCAATGGACATGTGTTTGTTTATGAGGCCAGTTTAGCAGAATTGAACACCAATGGCTAAGGGCCACGGGATAATTGAAAAACTAATATTGCGTGGGCTGCTCTTAGGATGGAGGGCTGAGGTTTAGGACCAGGAGTTTGAAACGTTTTCTTTCACATAATTTTATCAAAAACAATTTGGTGTGTGAGCAAATAAATTTGGGGTCCAGTTTTTTCCTGTCCCTGTTACATCTGACATCTATGATTTTATGATTCTGATGCACTCTTTAATGCAGTCATCCTCCAAGGGTGATTATGAAAAGAAAACTACCTACCCAACAACAGGGTGTGAGAGACCACTGATGAAAATAACTGAAAACAGCTGAAAAAGGTATTAAAAAAACTGAACTTTGGAAATTCCCTATACTTTTGTACACAGCAAGTGAGGGGGGAAAAGGGTGCAATCCAAAACAAAAAAGCTGAAATCAGCTTTAAAGCTGAGATTTCATACCCCTGCAACAATTTGAAACAATCATTTGAAGTTATTCTTAACGAAACTTCAATGGCCAATTATAAAGTACCAACGAAACAGGAAACGGGACAAATGTCACACTTTGGACTGCAAGTTTATAGAATGACCCAAATACAAGAGTAAGAATTTTTGCAAGTACTGCGGTTTGGGAGTTTTCCAAACTTTTATTTTTCATGAAGTTGTTTTTTTCAGTAATATTTGGACACTGACTTGTTTTTCTGTTTTGTTTGTGTGGAACAATTTTAGTCCACTCCTGTCAAATTTTGTAAAAAACAAAAACGGCAGTCAAATGATGCTGAAATGCATGATTTTTTTAGTTTTTTTTTGGTTTTTGGTAAGGTAAAGCAGAGTCATTATTACGAAGTAGACTGACAGTTATAAAACTTAACACCTAATGAAATATGACATTTCAGATAACATCTGATACAAGCGACATGAACGTATCCTGTTTTTGGCTCAAACTTGCCGGTAACTTTTATATATAGTTCTACCTTATAAACAGGAAATTGCTGTAAAACCTTTTCTTCGCTTTTTTGCTACCGTCTGGGAAAATATTGACACACTGCCCCTTTAGCCGGTGAACTTGCCGGCTTTTGCCTTTCAATACACTTTCCGGGGTCAGGACACCAGATATGCTGGCTCCCTCTCCCTCAACATGGAAATACAACCGGAGCAAATTAATCCTGACAGACGTTTGGACCGAGCCAACTCCCTCGGAGAGATAGAAAGACAGAGTGACAGAGTGACAGAGGGGGGGGGGGGGGGGGGGAGAGCGACTGTCACGTGTGGCTATTATGTCGATGGCTTCAAGACATTGTGCATGACTGCTTTTACAAACCATCTTTATAAAAATACAACTGCTTAAATTAATTTTAAAAAATATCTGTTATTTATTTATAGGCATGCAACTGGGAATTTAGGGGAAAAAAACGAGAAAAATACAAGACGTTCAAGTTACATGTACAGTATACAGTGTTTTCAATTTGTAATGGTATCATGAGAAGTAAAAAACGAGAAATCAGCAGATCCGAGGAAAGTTGCATGCCTGCATGGCAATTACTCTCAAAAAAGGGATTCAACGTTTCAACAAAACTTCAATGAAAGTTCGCATTTGGGTTTCATGCACTCTTGTAATTATGAGTCATATTTTTTGTTATAAAACCTCATTCTCTGTAATTTCAATTAATTATATTATACAACCTTTTTTTCTAAGATGAAAACCTAATTTTCGAGACTGCAGGGAATGTTTTCCTGTTACTAGGAGATGGTTTGTTGTTCACCAAATGAAAACCAATTTTCTGAAGACTTTTTTCCCAAGACATTTTTTTTTCCTGTGGCTTTAGTGTGAGCAGGAAAACCTTCAGGGCAGTGTTTTGTAAAACGCATTGTCCGTGCACTTTTTCGTGATATTTTAGTTGGAATAACTCTGCAGAAACTTAAATCCATTTGCTCTCTACAAACCAAACTTGTTAAAATCATCTCATCCAGTTTTTCGTTCAAGGATATATTTAATTGCCAATAGTGCAGAATGCCTTTAAGCAGTTTAAAAAAAAACAGTAGCAGAAAGCCCTGATCATTTCCTTTCGCCCCGGGTCGGAATTTTGCCGTTGATTAAGACAGAGCTCCTTGGAATAGCTCTAGCAGGCCCCACTACATCAACGTCTTGGCTCTGCATTTTTGCAGATGGAGGTTGCTTGAACTGCTGGCCCTATCTTTTTCTATTTTACGACGTGCAATTATTTCAATAAAGTTGAGAACAAGGGGGCATTCATGAGATGCAGAACTTGGGGATTGGGGTGGACAACAAGTTTTGATGATGAATTAATTTTGATGATGAATTACAGCGAAACTGAAAATTGGATGGAATGGTTCTCCGCGTTACTTCATCAATGTCTTGGTGTTGGTGTGAAAAGTGGGGAAACTGAAGAAAGAAAAAGGAGGATTTCGGAAATTGATTACTGTGAATTCCTGCGGGCCCTCCCAGGTTGGTTGCGGGTGAAATGAGGTCCGTCACATTTGCACTTTCGGTGTTGAGCAATCAGTCTTAATACAAGGTTTTTATTGTCTTGTACCAATATTAATAAGATCAGAGCTTTCAGGAAAGCAAGATAGTAAAAAAAAAATGACAAAAGCTTACTGTGGTGAGGCTTGAACTTAAATTTCCAACTTTTATTAGGGCATTTTTGAAAATTGACCAAAAAATTAGAAATCCGTTCTAAGACATTACTCTAGTCCGGTACCTTACTCCTGTCTCTGATAATAACATGTGTTAAATGAATACAAATCGCACCAGGTGCTAGACTCGTATGATGTCGGAACTGGGATCAGCGGTAAAATTGCAAAAACACGTGTTCAGGCTTCTCTCTTCATATCTTACTTGTAGAGCCCAGGTTTTCTAGTTCTTGACCGAGACGTAATCTCCCCCAATTTCTTTTCCATCAAGCCAGCAACTGTTGATATTTCGGGGGAAAAATGCTCGGAATGGAATCGCTCTGGCGATTTATACAAAAAAGGTTCGACAGCGGGACGCTGTACACTACAAATGCAAAGTTAATGATGGACTAGTGTTCTGAATGTTGAAATGAAATTGCAAATCCAACTAACAAACTGTGTAAAGCCCAGTTCATACTTCACGCGAAAGCAAGTGCGAAGCGAAATTCATGTCGTCAACAATGGTGGACGCGCTTCGAACGTATTGTTGACTTCACGAATTTCGCTTCGCTTTCGTTTTCGCGTGAAGTATGAACCGGGCTTAACTGCTTTGTCTGAAGGCTGATGCATGCGAAGGAAACAGCGCCCTCTCTAGTCAGAACGCAAATAGGATGCGATGGCTGTTTCTCAATCGCCGACTCCAACTCCATAGTTTGACATATAGTTTTGGAAACAGGTTTGCGAGACAGCATAGATTTGTTGTTCTAATGCACTTAAAGGGAATATACATCATTTGCTTTTGCTGTAATTTTCAGAAATGGATGGAATTGGGGGGTTGGAAATATAAAGCAAATATAGTTACACTGCCTTTTTGGAGGTTTTGGGTTCGAAAATGCTATAAAAACCAAGAAAAACGATCATTTTCCTGTAGTCTGGTTCCCTGACTCCATATAAGAAGAAACAGAGCAGTTTACATACATTGGGGAATTGTAAGGTCAGGGAACCAGTCTAGCTGGCTCGTACCCGTTCATAGGTTTGTAATCGATTGCAAACAAGTGCAATGGTCAATTGGGGCCAGTATTTGAAAAAAAAGCCAGTTGTTTCCAACGCTGATCGGCCGATCAGCGTTGGAAATTGATACAAAAATACCACTTTTCTTGAAAATGACAGTATACCAGGTGCCATAATTTTACAGGATG